GCGAAGTCTCGTACTGCTGACTGCAGAGAGGGGGCGTGACAGCAGAAAGGTGTTTGGCTCGGATAACCAGTATCTGAAGCGATGCTACCTACTCACAAGGAGTGAAGGGTTAGAAAAGTTTGACCCTAAAAATGACACACCTCACCCTACCTCACGGATTTCCGTTTCCTTTGGTAAGGGTGCCTACTAAGAACTTTCTAGAGCGGAGCTAATACTCAAAAAGCCTTTAATAAAGAGGCCGTGCGTGACCTGCTTGAAGCAGTTGTCTGTTGGGCTCTGTGGTCACGCTCCCAGGTCGTTAAGACCAACACTAATCTACTTTATTTTTCACATTCCTCAAGAAAAATTCTTCTACGGTGTGGGCAGTCGGGAGGTAATATCCGTCCTCATACCCGTAACGACACACGAGACCAAATTGGTCACAATCCAGTCCTTTCTACACCTCTTAATAACTCTCTTATCGCCTCGACCTTGATGACCATGATGATGATTAGTGATATTATGTCTGTAATGTTTAATACTATGAAAAAGCAGTTAACCCTATTATGTAATAGAAATCCGTGGTATACCGGTAGAATGCACAGTAATTAACCATATGTTCATATTAATAATAATATGTTTTAAATATGTTTAGTTGTCTATTTATTAATCTATACTATAGAAATAATGAATCGATCGTTGTTAGACCATCATTTTCGTTTCGTCGTAGTATGTAAGGCGGCCCGTCAGCAATGCGCACCCATGACCCCCCGCACGTGGGAATCGAACCTAGGACCTTTGGTCTCGCGCTCACAAATGCTTAAGCTCTGGGCCATTGAGCCAGTATCCAGTGATGTTAATGTCTGATTTTAATCAATCCAAGGTATTGCACAACCTCGGTAGATAACTGTCTACACCCGATACCGTCATACGTCACTAGTCATAGCTTTTCACTAGAACTCCGACAATGTCCTCAAGAAGCTAGTTAATAGTGAGCATATAATATCATGACCATAAGTCTTGATAAAATTCATGATATTATTCTTTTATAGTTTTGGATTCTATTTGACAGTTGGTCAGTTTGATAAAAAAAAGATAACTGTGTTTGTAGTTTTCTTACTTAGAAAATGTGACTACTTGCAATTGTGTTTCGGTAATCTATACTTTTCACCTAAAGATAGATAATTCACTGAATGCAAAGAAAATTGTTCATTTTTCTTTTATGCCGAGAACCACATCGATTCAACTGGTGTGCACACACTAGCTTTGAAGTATCCTGTTAGGGGATAGCGCTAGTCGTCTCGTTATTCCCTGTCCGCCCCCCGCATAATGAGTGTTGATGCTTAGTGAAGACTTTTGTTTTTTCTTTGTAGAAATGTTTTCTCTCTGTCTGTCTATCTCTCTTTCCCTAAATGAATATAAACGGGTTTGTTCAATGATTATTACACATTTGAAACCATCAATCTATCAGTCATTGTTAGACCACCATTATTAGAAACCTGGAAGAAGCACTGAAAGACGGTCGTTTCTTCCTAGTATGGGACTCATCAGTGGCAGTGCGCATCCACGTTAATTCCTGCATCTCCTCGCATGCAGGATTCGAACCTTCGGGACCTTCGGTATTGTGCGCGAACGCCTAACCATTGGACCAGTGAGCTGGCCGGCATCCAACGGTGTTAATGTCTAACTCTGATTGATCTAGAGATTTTGCGCGACCTCAACCATTTGTCCTTGGTAGTAGTTACTGCCTACACCCGACAGGATTGGACTCCATTTGTCACGTCTTCTCAAGTAGAACTCCGAGCATTTGCTCATGAAGCTAGTCATTAGTGAGCACTGTTACGGTATTTTGGGGCAGAGTTTTGGAGGTTTTTGTGTTTTTACACATTTGAAATCATCAATCTATCAGTCATTGTTAGACCACCATTATTAGAAATCTGGAAGAAGCACTGAAAGACGACCGTTTCGTCCTCTGATATGACACTACTCATCAGTGTTAGTGCGCATCCATGATAACTCCCGCACCTCCTTGCATGCAGGATTCAAACCCCAGGACCTTCGGTATTGTGCACGAATGCCTAACCATGATTACCATTATTATTATTATTATTGATTCAGCCTTGATAGTTTTGTTTTGCAATCTGTAAAATCGGCATTGTGTATTGAATAAATTTTGGCAATTGATTTTCATTTGTGTTTAAGATGTCTTTATGGTTTTTCGCTTTTATTTGGACACAATAGTCACGTATCATTTTTGGTTGTGACGTGCAGAGAATGATTATTTATCAGTTAGTTAGTTCATTAGTGCTCAATTTTTAGTTTAATCCTTAAATCAACTTATTCATGTGTGTCATAATATTAATAATAATTATATCATTCTGTACTAGGATGAGATTTTTTTCGGTTAACATACACCTCTAGTGAATGACTTTTTTTTAATGTTATTTTATTCTAGTGTTTTTCAAATGCTACCCTGTTTTTGCATTAAAACTAAATAATACATCATTTTGTGTAAAGGTCTTCTAATATGATAGACGTTGAGTAGTGTGACCTTAGTTAATTAGTAAGTATAATGAATTTTCATAATCTGAATACATCGTAGTAAGTAGCTAGACGACTGAGTGTGTTAATTTTATGAGATTGGAATTGTTGTCGGTTGTACATATAGTTATAGTTTGCTTCCATTGATTTCACTCATCGCCGCCGTATTGTCGGGGGCGGGAGGTGTTAGTGTTACGCCTGAGCGTAAACATGTCCAATTTGATATGCTTGAACTATTACGAGTTTACTACCTTAGTCGGATACGCGAGAGCGAGGATCCGGCGACAGGACATGCTACTCAAATCCGATTATCCGAACCCCCATATTGAATAAAAATAAGAAGACGTGATATGAAGTAGAACCTGTATTCTACACACATCCAGAAAGTACGAGGTCCTAATCCAAAAGAGAAACAGAATCCCGGACTACGGATCTGGGACCGAGCCCTGGTCCTGGTCGTGGTCATAAAGCGTTACAGATAATGCGTATTTATACAATTTGGCCGAATAGGAAACAGCATCCAAGTCTGTGACATTGACAGTTAAGACGACCAATAGGAAGCAACATTTGAAGTGACATTGATATCTAGGACGACCATAAAATTGACTAGTAGGAATCAACCAATAGGAATTGACCAATAATTCTCTTAGGATATTTGATGAATATCCTAACAGTTAGATCCCCAGAACTCTCACCTAGAAAAGGTCCTAATTTTGTAATTTTATTCTGAAAATTTGAATTCCTTATGTTTTTGCGCTAGCTGACCATCGGCTTACATTGATTGGTTGATGGATTATTTTAGTACGCTATTTTGTGGCTCTCCCAACGGCGTTGCTATCATTGTATAAATAAGCTTGATTTGTGTGTTTGCCGACCTCGTATATTCTGGGTGCTTGTAGAATACATTCTCTCTACTCCTTATCAAGATTTCTTAATCTAGTTAGTAGGGTCTGGGACAATCGGATTATAGAATAGCTTATCGTGTTGACCTTTGTTCACGTTTACCGAGTAAGGTGAACATTTGTAATAGTAGCATTCAAACATATCAATTTCTGAGTATATCATGTATTCACATTCATCTTGTTAATTTTATGTTGCCTTTTTCTGAATATTGAAAACGGCTAACTAATCTATTTTAAGTAAAAATTCGTTTGTCAATATTTAAGACGAAAATAATGAGTACAAGTGTTGTTCATATTTCTATTAAAATAACTCACACGAATGAACTGACATTCATTTCAGTTTATTCATTGTTCGTTCTAAGTAGGTCAGAATTGATTATTTAGATTCTTGAATGAATATGGTTTAGTAGTTATTTCAATCGATTTTGAATAGATGTGCTTTCATACGACTTCATGCATATTTGGCAGTGCTCTTGTATGTCTGTTCTCTCTCTCTCTCCGTAAGTTCTTATACGGCCACGTGTACAAAACAGCTGCCAAAGAAATCCTACTCACTGCTTTCTCGTAATGCAGGTGTTGTTTACTGAATCAAGACAACAAAAGGTTAGTCTATGGCGCTTGTACTCGTTTGCTGACAGAAGGATGAGTGTATTGTGCAGTAGTTCGCTTCGTGTTACTTTATAGCTGTGGAACATGGCCAGTGAGAGTAGAAGATATTCGTTGGTTATTGGTTTTCGATCATAGGTGTCTTCGAAGCATTGCTCGTGAATTGTGGGACACCCCAGTTAGCAACGCTGTTATTAGGACACGGGTGCTAGGTAAGAATGGAAGATCAATAGATGAAGTGGTGACACTTCATCAGTTGAGGTGGTTGGGACCTGTGCTGAGTATGCCTAACCACCGACTGCCTCGACGAGCTTTGTTTTGTAGTGTAGGAGTAGGTTGGAAGAAAGTTAGGGGCGGCCAAACCAAAACATGGCCGAAATCCATGAAGTCAATGACAAGTGGACTGAGCCATGTCGGTAATTGTCGACTACCTGGTTGGGGTCTGCGAGATGATAATAATCGATGGTTAGAAACCCTGAATCACATAGCACAAAACGGCTTGCAATGGCGCCGGTGCATTTATTCTTTATGTTCTCTCAAATCGTAATCTTCTGGATTCTTCAACAACTCTAGTTTTGACTTTCTTAACTTATCTCACTGAATCATACTTCTTGAATAATATCTTCTAATCCTAACGTCTCTGATTACTTCTAACACCTTTTACTACCTCTACTACTACTAGATTTGAATTGACAATTACATCTGTGTGTTCTAATGTGGTATGGCAACATGAACTGATGTACGTACTTACGTACGAAGTTCTACGTTGCATGCGACTGACTGACTAGAGCTACAAACCCAGCTGGCTGAACGAACCTAGTTCGATATCGGCAGCCAAACAAATCATCTATAAACCAAAATTATGAAATATGTATGTATATCTGTATGTATTTGTACTTTGTTAAACCATTTACTATAATAATAATCATAATCAATTTATACTTTCTTTTGATTATCACTGGAAAAATCAAGCATACACATTTGTACACAAATAATCTTCAACACAACTATGTCAATTCAGATCATACTGATAAGCTACCACAACAACAGTATTCAGCAAATACAATGAAAAATCAACGTAAATATTCATTACCCAATACAACATTGAAAACAGAAGGGCATTATTCTAAAACTTTAGGCCGTCTATCATCAACATCAAGATCATTGAAGAAAAAAGAATCTACAGAACAACAACAACAACAACAGCGACAATATGATCAACGCCGTTATCAAACTCTACCACATTATCATTCTCATAGTCGGTCACATCGTATTGATCCTCGGTATGGATTTAAACGACCATGTTGGTCATCAGTGCCTTTAATTATTCAATTGAATAAAACATCGCATGGTTTTGGATTTAGTATAGCAGAATATGAGGTGAGTTATTGTGTTAAACAGAGATTTGTGTGTATTCATTTACTTACTTACTTACTTACTTGCTTACGTCTGTCACCCCCAATGGAACAAAAGGCCGTTGACCAGTGTTCTCCAGCCTACTCTATCCTGGGTTTCCCTTTCCAATTCTGTGCAATTTTTGTTCACTCTTCTCATATCTTTCTCAATTTCTTAGCGTAATGTGTTTATTGGCCTTCCTCTTTTCCTGTGACCTTGAGGGTTTCAAGTGAGGGCTTATCTTGTGACGCAGTTGGGTGCTTTCCGCAGTGTGTGTCTTATGCAGTGTTGTATCGGAGAATCTTACTTTTACCTTTATGTGTGTTGAGACCTACTGCTGCTGAGGTTGCAGCCACACTGATCGTCTTCTTTTGCATTTGTTGTTGCATGTGCGATAGAAGAGTCAGATCATCTGCGAAGTCTCAATCGTCCAGCTGCCTACCGTGCTTCCCTCCAGAAGACGTTTTCATAACCCAGTCGATCACCGGGAGGAAGGGGAAGGGTGGGCATAAGCAAACTTGCATGACACCGGTCTTCACCTCGAACGAGTTTGTTCACTGTCTTTCATGCACGATTTTGCAGTTTAATCCATCATAATAATTTGCGTATGATGTTGACTATCTTCTCAGACACACTGTAGTGTCAAAGAAGCCTTCATAGTGTTTTCCTGTCCACGCTATCAAATGCTTTCTCTTAGTCAATGAAGTTTATGTAATGTGTATTTACTTAAGACACGACAATCCATAATAATTAAAAAGCTGATTAATAAAGAATAATTATTAAGGTCGTAATTAATGAATTAAACTTGTCACACCCTTATTGGAGCATTGATCAACGATCAGGAACTTTCAACCAACGCTATTTTAGTCTCTTCTTTCTAATTTTCCCCAAGTACTACTAATACTCCCCAAATGTGTCTACCTCCAGTTCCGAAGAATTTTGGACTTTCACCAGAGCTTTTCCATATAACGATGACGTCTTAACTCCACAAGAGAAGAACTTGAACGGTTTATATGGTTTAGTCTGGTTAGTGAGATTTTTTTTGCGAGGTTTAGTTGTTAATCCTACAGACAACTTTCCATTCACCTTCATTTTGGACCATCAGTAGTTAGTAGTTACCTTGAAGAGAGGGAGCTTCAGGGCGGATATACGATATAATGTGTAATGTAAGTAAATTCTATGTGATAAACCGCTAACGTATTTAATATCGTATATGATTTGACTACTTCTAGTAGCAACGTTTTTCCATTTTCTCTTGTTTTCTATGTGCATTTTCTTTTAATAACAGGAACTACCTGTGACTGACTTAGAAAGTAAAACACATCGAAAATCATTTTCACTTGATAGAAAACGTTCTCATCTAATTGAATCAGATCGTCGATCATTTCGTTCTTATTATTCCAATGGTTCGACTATTACATCATCATCATCATTAACATCCACATCATTATTGCGTAAACATTCCAAATCATCCAATCGATTAAAACGCAGATCTACTTGGTCTAGTCGATCTTCTAAAAAAACACATGGTATCTTATTGATTGACAGTTTAGCCCCGGGTGGTATAGCACAATTAGATGGACGTATATCGATTGGTGATCGATTGTTATTTGTGAATGATAAAAATCTGATGAAATCTAGTGTGAATGAAGCTGCCCATACATTGAAATCATTGCCTAATGGTCCATGTTTAATTGGTATAGCGAAAATGCTACTGGAATCGAATGAAATCAATGATGGTATGGAGGCGAGAACTCAACACACTCAACCACAACACCCTCAACACCCACAACAATCATTCATATTACCATATCCAAGCATGTCTACTACTACTACTATGCAACCATCTGTGATTGGTATGTTTCCAGATAATCATGATGAAGCGCAAATGACTAGTATGAAATCTGATTTAACTTATCCGTTATATGTTAATACTACTACTGGTGATGGTGGTACGATTATTAATGATGATAATAATACAATTGTGGTAAGTGAATTGATTTAGTAAAATTCTGTATTACAGTAACATCATTGTTCTTGTCATGTCATACAACTATACTGGAATAAAATGCCTCTCTCAAGGAAAATACCAATGTGCTTGTATATCCTGGGACACCTGAGTGAGCAACGTTGTTATTAGGAAACGGGTGCTGGGTGAGAATGGTAGATCAATAGATGAAGTAATGAAACTTCATCAGTTGAGGTGGTTGGGACATGTGTTGCGTATGCCTAACCACCGACTGCCTCGAAGAGCTTTGTTTTGTAGTGTGGGAGGAGTGAGTAGGTTGGAAGAAAGTTAGGGGCAGCCAGAACAAAACATGGTAGGGATCTATGAAGTCATTGACAGGTGGACTGAACCATGTCGGTAGTTGTCGACAACCTGGTTGGGGTCCGCGAGATGATAATGATTGATGGTTAGAGACCCTGAATGACATGACTGAGAATCGTTCGCAATGGCGCCGGTGCATTTATGGTTTGTGTTCTCTCAAATCCCAATCTTCTGAATTTCTCAACACCTTTAGTTTTGTCTTTCTAAACTTATCTCACTGAATCATACTTGTTGAATAATATCTTCTAATCCTAACCTCTCCGATTACTTCTAATACCTTTACTACCTCTACTACTATTGGATTTGAATTGACAATTACATCTGTGTGCTAATGTGGTAAGGCAATATGAACTGATGTACTTACGTGTTACATCTGACTGACTGACTAACTCTGATATTTTCGCGTCATACACTATATTCAAATTTGAAATAATGTTTGTGAAATTGTATGTATTTTGAAACAGCAATCAAACTTTCGACTATTTCAAGTTGTTAGATAATTGGATTGTATTGTTTAACAACTAAGAACTAAATTACTACTAAAACGATATTTCCAATGAATATCTTTTTTAATTGATTTAGTTAATTTGAAAAGTTAATTTCAATTCTAAAACAGGGACCGTTCGTTTGTAGATATATATATATATATATATATATATATATATATATATATATATATATATATAAAGAGTAAACTGCCAGTTAATGGTTTGACAAAACTTTTTTGCTGATACATTTAGCCGAAAGCAAGATTACTTTTTTAGTCAATCAGTTCAAACGTAGAACTTCGTACGTACGTATATCAGTTCAGGTTGCCGTACCACATTAGCACAGAGATGCAATTGTCAACTCAAATCCCATAGTAGTCGTAGTAGAGGTAGTAGAAGTATTAGCGTCAATGGAGAATAGTAGGTTTGGAAAATATTATTCACGAAGTATGATTCAGTGCAATAACTTTAGAAAGAGAAAGATAGAAATGATGGGGAATTCAGAAGGTTAGAATTAGAGAGAACACAAAAACTGGATGCACTTGCGCAATTGCAAACAGTTTTGAGCGATGTCATCTAGGATGTCTAACCACTAGGTCGTCTACATCTACCAACATGATTCAGTCCAGTTGTCAATGACTTCATGGATTTGTGTCATGTTTTTATTTGATTTTAATCGGTTAGAAATGCGTTGTATATTATATACCAGTAGTACATACTTGCTCTGTACGTACGTACGTACTTGCCTGAAATAACATCAATGCTTGCATACACCTCACCTATTAAAATAACTACTTCATTGATTGTCATTCCTCATTTGATAAATCATCATGTTTACACGGAAGTAAGGTCTTTCTTTTTTTCTTTTTTTTTGACCTTTGACCTTGTCAAAAAAACGGTTGGTTATGACAAGGCATTCAACTTGCACAATATGTTATTCATATTGATAATATACACTAAAACTAAAACCAAAACCAAAACCAGTCAAATAATAAATTATTGTTTCACTGTACTGTATAATTACTAATATTTTCTGTATTTATCTTCTTTCCTATTCACCATCCCTGCGCTGATGGAACAACGGTATTTTGTAAAATACGATTTTATGTCTGTTGTTGTTGTTACTGTTGTCCTTGTATAATTGTGCTTGTGTACACACACTGTGTTGTGACATTGTACACTTTTCCGCATGCATCTACACATGGTTTAATTTTTTTTATACATTTTGACAAATCTAGTCAAAGCATGCCAGAAATGCACGATTGTCATGTATTGAATGTGTTGTTAATGACAGTAGTACACGTACTATGTATTCACGCCCTCCTATACATAAATCACTATCTGATTCAGCGTGTAATTTATTACCTACGAGTACTTCTCATAATCGTATGTTATCGAGAAATAAGCCATTGTTAATGCGAAACGACTTACAACAACAACAACCAACACCACCAACGGAGCATAGGAATGCGTTACTTTTGGAAACGATGAATAACACTGCTTCTTCTTCGTCTTATTTTACACATCGAAAGTGTAAAACTTATAGCAGTTGTATTATGATTGAACAATTAGGTCGTCGATACACCAATCAAAATTGTTCCAATCGTGATTATTATTATTGTACGTGTTCTAACTATGCACAAAATCACGCGATCTATGATATTCCCAAGTGTCTAAATGATAATCACATCAATCAATTAGCTCTACGTTTAGTGCATGAAATTGTACAAAAAGCTGTGGATTTAATCAATTACGACGAAGTAACAGCAAATGCAATTCGATCACCATCGATGACTGATCATCAAGATTGGTGTGTGTCATCAACATCAACATCAACATCATCAACATCCACTTCAATCGGAGCTGGTACCATAGTGTCAAGTCAATCATGGACAACAACACTATCTACGAATTCTGGATTATTAGTAGTATCTTCAAATGTTCCTGTGGATAACAGCAATTATGATGGATTAGTTACTAGGATAGTAGATCAAATTCTTACTGATCGTCATTCCACGTCAACATGTTCATTAATGTCTAGAAGTAGTTATCACACCAATACCAATACTACTACTAATACTACTGACAATAGTAATAATATTAGTAGTAGTAGTAGTAGTACCACACAATATTTAGCTCAAACACTTGTTAGTCAATCGATTTTAAAAGCTTTGAATTATTTGAAAGATCATAATAATAATGATGATGATGATGATGATGATGACAATAGATTAATGAATTCCTTTGTTACACCAACTACCACTATTCCCTATGAAATGTCTACACTGACAATCAAACCAACTACAAGTGAATACATTTTTTCAAAGAATAAAAACCAACAACCGGATAGTATTACTGGTAGTAATGAATCGTCGGATAATGTGAAACACCTGGAAAACATTCATAATCATGTTGACAAGATTGATTTGACGAAAGACACTGACGACGACAACGACGTCAATAGCAATAATCATAATGACATAATCATGGAAAGTGATCACACCGGCGATAATAATATTAATGATGTTGATGTTGATGTTGATGAAGAAGAAGATGAGGATGAGGATGAAGATGAAGATGTGAAAACTGAATGTGATCTATCTACGAATTCATCCGTTTCTCTTTCATCCTATATTCGTCCAAAACCAATGTCTTCCTCAATTGAATCAGCAGATCATTTAGAATGTAATCATGTACAACAACAACAACAACAACAACAACAGAATATCAAGTCATTGTTTACACATAGTTCTTATTCATCGCCGAAATCAATCAGATCTACTAAGCCTACAGCTGATCTGTATAGTAGTAGTAGTACTGGTAGTAGTAGTAATAGTAGTGGTAGTGGTAGTAGTAGTAGTAGTTGTTGTTGTCATAGCAACAAAAACAAGCCAGTTCATAAACATTATAATTCAGCGCATTGTTGTTGTATTGCTGTTGGAGGTGATGATGCTCATGATAATCATGATGATCATGATGTTTCACAGTCACGTTCTGCTATCTCTGCAACATCTTTACGTCATCATCATCATCATCATCGACATGGTCACAATGGTCGACATCAATCTAGGCGCTGCAAAAATTATCGTAATTTCTTGGATAAACAATTTACAAATTACTACATGAATAGAAATTATAAAAAATTTAATATTATGAAGGTGTGTCTAGTTGGTGTAGTTCATTTTGGACATTTTGGACACTATACTATTATTGCATGTGAAAATGTGAAATCAGACGATATTGTGTGGTCCTGTTTTATTTTTGTGTATTAACCAACCATCTTCCATGTTGAATGTTGAATCTCCTGCGTGTGTGTATGTGTGTGTGTGTTCTGTTTTGAATGAAAATTGATATGTTCTTGTTTAATTGTGAATTAGTAATAATAGTACTTAAACTTAAATTTTTCAGCAAATCAATGATATAGTGAGACAGACAGACAGACCCTTGGGTAGCTGCTTTTAGTCTCATCGTTCTCCAATCGACCACCACCTGCCTGGCATGGTAGGACCTTCAGGAGCATATGTTCCAGCCAGTATAGCTCGGTTGGGTGATCACGATAGTGAAGCCCCACCACCACGTGTCAAGGTAGCAGCTACGGTCGGGAATGATGTAGTGATCTGGGTGTTTTTATTCAAATTATTGGGGGTAAAATCTAGTACAACACTGTTAAATAAATAAATAAATATCGTTAGCAATTAGTGAATTGATATTTAAGTGAAGGTTTTATTACTTCAATTTACTTTACTTGGTTTGTTCACGCACATAAAGTACAATGTTTTTAGTAAGTTGTACTTTTCGAGATATCTTCAATACTTGCTCAAAGTGACGATGTTCTTTAATCATAGTATCTATCAGTCAGTTACAACGTAGGATTTCGTACGTACGCATGCAGGTACATTAGTTCCGGTTGCCATACCACATTAGTGCAAAGACGTAATTGTCATTTCAAATCCAATAGTAGCAGAGGAAGTAGGAGTATTCGCGGTAATGGAGAAGACTAGGGCATAATTCATTGAAATAAATGTAGAAAGAGAAAGATAAACGTGATGAGGTATTCAGAATATCGAAATTTGAGAGAACACAATGAGTGGATGCACCTGCGCCATTGCTAAGAATGTTGAGCCATGTCACTCAAGGTCTCTAACCATCGGTTACTATCATCTCGCGGATCCCAACCAGGTAGTCTACACCTACCAGCATGGCTCAGTTCACATGTCAGCGACTTCATGGATTTGTGCCACGTTTCTGCTTGGAAGCCACTAGCTTTCTTTTAGACTACCTCTACATCGGACAATATCGCTCGTAGAGGCAGTCGGTGGTTAGGCATTCGTAACACCGTGTCCCAACGACACCTCAACTGATGAAGTTTTAATACTTCATCTATTGATCTGCCATCCCTACTTAGTACTCGTTTCCTAACATCAGCATTTCTCATTTGATTGTCCTAGGAAATACAAACAATGCTTCAAATAAATTTATGATCAAATATAGTAAGTAGCTTGCGAATATCTTCTACTCTCAATGGCCATGTTTTACACCCGTCTAGTAGGGCACAGCAGACTCATCCTTTGGTTAGAAGACGAATATCCCACCTACGCCATAAGTGACACAAGTTGGCAAAAGCTAGTCGAGCCTTCTTTGTCCGTGCTGAAATTTTGTCTGACACCAGGCCATCAGCACTGATCAGACTCCTCAGATAAGTAAATCGATTGACACTCTCAACTCTACTGTACTCCCTATCACCACTAGTTTAGGTGCGGACACCAGCCAATTTGCATTACAAGGGGGGGGGAGAATCGCAACTCGAAACTGTTTGCTTTGTTGCCTAAAGAAGTCAGAAGACTCAGCATTTTGTCAGCATCTTGACCACACAGAACTATATTGCCAGCATATTCTAAGTCAATTGATCATGATAGGCTTGATCTTTTGTTTAATATGTAACCCATTTTAACTGAGTAATACATTCATTCCTGCGTTCAGAATTTCTTCTGAATGTGAACGTTATTTTTAATTCTTTTTTCTTTACAAATTATTACACTGTAATATTAGTTTTTTTAAAATTTTTAATTGCACACTAGTAGTAGTCCTTCGTGTAGAACATTTAAATTTATTTTCTAAAAGTTTATATGTAGTAGTATTGGTTTTGTAGTGAACGAGAACACAGGTGGGACAACCGGATTGTATTTAACGAAAATTACAGAGTTACTCAGTAAAATCGGAAAACCATATCGTAAATCGTTCATTTGCAAAATATCAGTTCATCAGTCCATCGAACTGGACTGTTCCTGTTGCAAACAACATCAATCCATTGTCACTATTCATACGTTTCATACAAATTCCATTGTTTTCTAACTCTTCCTTTCTTTCTTGATCTTCCCCCATCTTCTCTTCTGCCAGACATTACGTTGACACTCACGTCATATACTACTTATAAGTAGCTCACCCCACATTAGTAGCAGTATTAGAATTACCATCGATGATTTTGCTGATTTCAACATTTCTCAAATTGTCAAATGTTGCATGATTTACGGTGAATAGTATGAATGATTATTAACATGATCTTTTCTCGTTTTTTTTCCATACTACACACTTACTTAATGATCAGTCTATATGATGTTGTATCTTGTTGTCATTCTGTTATTGCTGTTGTTGTTTTTGTATAAACTGTGTTTTGTGTTTAATATTTCTCTGAGTTGAGTATGTCAGTTGACCTTGAGATTACTTTTCCCAAACCCTAAAATCCTTGACTGTTATTGGTTGATGTACTTACTATTTTATAGTACGCACTATTTTTGTGGTTCTCACAAGGTTGTTTCTATCATGTATAGAAAAAAACCTTATATTTTGCTGGGTGCTTGTAGAATACACTTTCTACGTTCTTGTCAAAAATTCTTACTCGGATTAGAGTAGCCTATCGAGGGCACACTGGATTATCATTTGTCTTCACTGTCGTTTAACAGGCTAAGTTGAACTTGTCATAGCATTCAAGCATATCAATTGACGAGCAGAACAGTTATAATCTTTATCATATTGATCAGTGACTCATTCATTGTATGACTGATTAATTTATGGTTTGTGTGTGTGTGTGTATGTGTGTATGTCTGTATATTATTCTCTCATTCTGTTCACTTGTAACATCCGTGATAAAAACATTCTTCGCTTAGCCAAAAATATCTTACACTAATTACAGTGAATTCATAAATTGATCAATGTTAGACCACACTGCCATTAGAGAGTGACTTGGAAGCATATGTGGGATATGGCTATTTCATTCTCGTATGGGGAACTACACTCATCAGCAATGCACATTTACTCTATATAATGATTTTTTTTTCAAAAATATTGATTGTTGTGTATATATGTGAAAAGATTGTGATCATTCAAATCTATGTCATGATTGTTTTGATGTTTAAACACTACAGAAGAACTAGAAAAATTCTAAATCAATGTATAAACTGTATGAAATCTGAAAGTTATGGGTTTTATCCTAATGTTGTAGTATCATGCATGAGTGAGTGAGTGAGCACTATTTACATAGCACAAACCTTTGATGAAATAGGTATCACTTACTTAACTAATTGTGTTTTCAATTATTCTTCAATTGGTGTAAGTATGAGTATGAGCGCTAGCTCTCATGGTATAACTTATCTTCAAGTTGAACAAATCTACATGAACGATCCACTGGGATTATAATTGTGTTTCCTTACCATTAGTTCACTTTGAAATCTATACTCTCGTGTTTTAGTGCGAAATTGTAATCATTGGGATTAGTTATTTCTGAAGTTTGGCATTTATTCTTGAGTAACTTTTATAAATGATCTTCACACTATTTTTCTGAGATTAATTGAAGTTGGAATGAATAAGGACCCTTTATTCATCTTTTGCCAGTAATATCTTTCTCACTAAAGGAAGTGTTGGGGACGTTAGATCCCTACCGACTCACACATGGAAAACATCCCAATTATGTAATTTCTGAAATTTCGGATTTTTAATGTTTTCATGCCCAAAGTCGACCTTCAGACTACATTTCCCACTCAGAACATCCTTCACTGTCATTGGTTAGTACGGTATTTTGTGACTCTCACCTAGGGCGTTGCTATCATTGTATGAATAAGCTTGAGTTGTGTGCTTGTAGACCTCGTACTTCCTGGTTGCCTGTGAAACACATTTCTATAGTTAGCAGGATGGTGGAGAAAATTTGTAGCTCAGGTGAATGATTGTGGTGGTGTTTCGTTCTCTGAGGTGGGTATTTTGGTTGCGAAGCTTTCATTGTTCTTCCGAACAACTTCTATCTGAAGTTCGTGCCGAAAAAACACAATGAAAGCTTCACAACCAAAATATCCAGATGACAGAACGAAACACCACCACTAGTTAGCGGGTCGTGGGACAATCGGATTAGAATAAACTAACGTGTCACTGAATCATTGGTTTTTCGTTCTGTTTACCAAATAAGGTGAACTCATAATAGCTGCAGGCATATCAGTAAGTCCATAGTCTAATCATGTGAAAATCAACAGTACAGTCTGAAGATGAGTCCTTAAAATTTAACTAAGCAATTATTCCACACTTCTCAGCTGACATTACATTCGGACCGTGATCTTTCCTGATACTACTGCTCATAGTTCTACTACCTCTACTACTACTACATTGGGATTTGGATTGACTATCACATCTCTGTGCTACCGTGGTTATAGCAACTTGAACACTGATGTACGTACGTATGAAGTTCACCATTGTTACTGACTGTTTATTGCATATGGTGTAATTTTTTCAAGCAATCGATCAGTTTACACTTTATCATCGTTGTTATCTTTGCATTTTGTAACTAATAAAGCATCATGATAATTTTCAATTGGGTTAATGAATGAATGAATGTTCGAAATTTGTTGTTTGCCTTTTTTTAAATCATTCTGTTGTTTGAATCCGTAATAAGGAAGACTTTGTTGTTGTAGTAGTAGTTGTTGTTGTAAGTTGACCAGTGTAGTTAACAGTGATTGTTTGTTATCCATTCAACTTCTCTTTTATGCATGAATGAATGAAAAATGAACCAGGTAAACTGATGATATGAAGTTATTGCTTATTTTTTTCTTATTTCTGACAATCTATTTTTGTATTTTTGTAATTTTATTTTTCTAATAGAATAGTTTCAATACAACTGGAATGGAAGATTTGGTAAGTGGTGTTTAGTGTATTGATATTTGTGTTATATTTTATGTTATGATGATGATGATTCATAGGTTGCTGGTTTTTGATTATCAGTGTCTCCGAAGGGTAACCGCGAGTAAGCAATGCTGTACTAGGTAGGGATGGCAGATCAATAGATGAAGTAGTGAAACTTCATCAGTTGAGGTGGCGTTGGGACATGTGTTGTGTATGCCTAACCACTGACTGCCTTGACGAGCTATGTTTTGTGGTGTAGGGGTAGGTTGGAAGAAAGCTCTAGGGGTGGCCAGACCAAAACATGACAGAAATCCATGAAGTCACTGACAAGTGGAGTGAGTCAGGTTGGTAGATGTAAGCTACCTGGTTGGGGTCCGCGAGATGATAATAATCGATGTTTAGAGACCTTGAACGACATGGCTCAGAATCGTTTGCAATGGTGCAGGTGCATCCACTGTTTGTGTGCTTATAATTCTAACCTCCTGAATTCCTCATAATCTCTACGTTTCTCCTTCGAAATTTATCTCACTGAATTATACTTCTCGAATCATATCTTTGCTCCCTAATCTTCTCCAATTACTGCTAATACTTCTACTATCGCTATCACTGTTGGATTTGAACTGACAGTTGCATCTTTGTCCTGATGGGGTATGGCAACCTGAACTGATGTACTTATGTCCGAAGTTCTGCGTTGTGTCTTCAGAATTTCTCATCGTCTCTATCTTTCTGTTTCTAAAGTTATGTCACTGAATTATATTTTTCAAATAATATCTTCGAACCGTAATCTTCTCCAATACGTCTACTATCTCTGCTACTACCTCATGGACACAATTCTCGGTACACCCGCTAATTAATATACGTCTCTCATGTTACATACATCACAATTCAGTCATTTGTCCTTGATCTGCCATGTCCGGGATGTGATTCAGGTCTAGGTTGCATCGGCACCTAAACTACTGATAGGGAGTGAAATAATTGAGCGTACTGACCGCTTCCATTAGGACCAACTGCTCTCCCTCTCCTTAGATTGACTATAGCCTACTCAACATTATTTAAGAGTCGAAGGACTCACATCAACTTGCTATTCAGATTTTTCCTGGAAATGGTATCTATCTAAAGTATGCTTGAAAACCAATTGAACTGTTCCATAGAGTGAGTGTTTTGCCTATCGATCAACTATCCTTAAATAAGAAGAATGCAAGAGAGAATCTTGCTAACAATCAGATTGATTCTTAATACCAATCTCCTCATGTCAGTTACAATAATAATAATAATAATTCTTATTAATAGTATTTATAATGTACAACAAAACTGCATGAAATCGATTGTATTCAGTTGAATTCTCTTTTCAATTCGTTTCTACTTTCTTCTCTTTACTTATCAAAATATATTGTTGACCTTATTTATTGTCAACATTTTATCCTTAGATTGTTTTTGGTCCATTCTCTCTACTACCATTGATGAATGATGTTGTTATCGTTCTTAATGTTTCTTCTGTATTTCAACCATCATCTATGCTTGTACATATTTATATGTGTGTGTATACATACTACTGAAAAGTTATTTCATTCATTTTCTATGAAGAAGCTAGCTGTATGCATGCATGTGTGTGTGCGTGTGTGTCTCTCTGTGTGGCAATATATACATAACCATCATTCGACAAGCATACACTCCTCCTCTGTACAATAGTTTATTTTATTATAGCCATCAGAGAAATGCACTAATTATTTTGTTGACCTTCTTCTTCTTCTCTCTGTACTTTGTTTGTTTCCGTGTATTCGGGAAGAAAAAAAATAAGTTCAACCTTTTTTTCTACGATTTTCCCTTTAAATTCTGTTTCATTTTTATCGTTGTATATATATATATATATATATATATATATATATATATATAAATTCACCTTGAATAGGCAAGAGTAAGAATATTTACATTGGTTTTTTTTGCAGGATTACCTGATAGATATACTATGTTTAGGCATGCACCACGTAAACATGTCAATTTGATATGCTTGAATTATTATTATTACGAGTTTACCCCTTAGAGTCGGAAAACGAGAGCCGAGGATTGAGGATCCGGTGACACGATAGGCTACTTTAATCCGATTATCCCAACAACCACCATTGAGTGAAAGAAGAAGACTTGATATGAAGTAGAACATGTATTCTACAATAGCATCCAGAAAGTATGACGTCCTAGTTCAGAAGAGAATCAGGATCCTGGACTAACGATCCGGGTCATAAAATGTTACAGATAATGCGTATTTATACAGTTAGGTTGAATAAGAAACAACATCGAAGTCTGTGACATTGACAGTTAAGACGACCAATAAGAAGCAACATTGGAGTACATGACATTGATAGTTAGAACGACCATAAAATTGACCAGTAGGAATTAACCAATAATTCTCGGTTGAATATCCTAACATACTGCCCACATGTTAACGCTACAACATGAACAGTGCAGCTTAGTCATGTGAATAGTTCCTCTCATTCAAAAAAATTGTCTATACTGTAAAGATGTATACTTTAATGATTGAACCTTTTTAGAATGTTATACGATTAATTTTGCTCACTTGGTTATTTACGTCTGTTACCGTGGAATAAAGCAGCATAGGCCACCGACCAGCATTCTCAGACCTACTCTGTCTTGTGCCTTCATTTTCAATTCTATCCAATTGCTGTTTATTCTTTTCATGTCTACCTTCGATTTTTTGGTCTTCCTCTTTTCCTTTGTGTTGGGGATCTAAGATCCCCAGAACTCGTTTGATAAATATCTTTATTTTGGATTTATTTCATGGGGTGATCAGTTAGTTGACCTTGAGACCACATTTCCCAACAGGAAAATCCTTGCCTATGATTGGTTACTGTGTCATTTTAGTGTGCTATTTTTGTAACTGTCCCAAGGACGTCTCTATAGAGTATAAATAAACGCAATTTGTGTTCTTGAATTCACTGTGTGCTGGCTTGATGTCTGTAGAATACACTTTCTACGATATATCGAGACTTCTTGCCAGTACATTTTAGTCAAGGGATCACAGTAGCCTACCTGGAAGCTGGTTCATTGTTTTGTTCTCGTTATTCAACTAAGCTGAACCCGTAAAGTTTTAAGAATACCTAGAGACGAGCATAACACTTTGTCCTTGAGTATTCCAAGTTGAGGGTTTGTGTTGTAACGCAGTTGGATGCTGTTCTCAGTGTGTGTGTGTGTGTGTTTGTGTCCTATTCACTTCTAGCGCTTTTCTTTAATTTCTGGAAATTTAATTTTGCTTATCGGAAAATGTGTTTTAATGATTGATTTAAGTCGTAGTCTTTCTTTATTTTTTCAATTATTTTCTAGTCAACTTGTTCAGTTTGTATGAAAATTCACTTATCTCTTATTGTCATATATATATATGTGTGTGTAGTCAGTTGATTGAATTAGAGAACCGAAAGAAAACTAACTAACTCATTTCCAGTATTTTCAAAATAATCAAGCTTTTCCTCGGTTATTTTATCATTGAATGTTTGCATTGTTTATAAATCCATTCGATTGTGTGTTTGAGTAATTATTATCTCAGATTTGAACAGCGTTGTCTTTAATAGGCTCGACCGTAGCTGTTACCTTGACGTGCTGGTCGGGCTTGCCTATCAATGTGATGACTCAACTGAGCTATATTGGCTGGAATTTATGTTCCTGCAGGTTCTACCATGCCAGGCAGGTCGATTGGAGAACGATGAGAATAAAAAGAGAGCTACTCAAGGTCTGAGGGCGAAGTCGTACTGCTGACTGTGATAGCAGTGCGGTGTTTCTCTCAGACAACCAGCATCTACAGCGATGTTGCCTACTCACAAGGAAGGAAGGGTTAGAAAAGGTCGACCCTGAAAATGTCCCGCCTCACCTTGCCTTGTGGTGGCCAATTTCGACGTGTTTTTAATCTTCGTAATTAACTCGTCCAGACAATCGTTTCTAAATAGCGTCTGACGTTTTTTATAAATCAGAAGGTAAACTCGAAGTGTTGAATACGTTTATTTTGGTACACCACAAATAGGGATGGCAGACCACAATCAGACCGGGCAGGCACACTAGCGAGTGAATTAACAAGATTAAAATGTTCGTATATATAAAAAAGGAAAATGTCTGAGTCATCGTGATATTTAAAAGATCAATATTAAAGCGAATAGGATGCATATGCGCGTAGGCGGTAAACAATGCTCAGTCATATCAGCTCATACAAACCACACAATAATGAAAGCCAATGGTACATATAAGTAGTTATTGTTATACAAATGGCTTGGTTAAATAAAAAATAATCGAAAGGTTTGACCAAATTAAATAAATGAAAGCGAATTCAAATATATGTGAGGTCCACTACAGCCTCATGGATTACCGTCTCCCGGTGGTAAAGGCTCTTAATTAAACAAGAGCGCAGTTAATATTGTAAAAATCTCTCATAAAAAGGCCGTACGTGATCGGCCTGAAGAAGTTGTCCGTTTGGGTTCTTCGGTCACACACACAGCTCCCTAAGACCGACACTAATCTACAGTCATTTTTACAGGTTCCTCAAGAAAATACCCTTCCATGCTGTGGGCAGCCGAGAAGTGACATCCGCCCTCATACTCCGTAACAACACACGAGACCGAATTGGTCACAATCAAATCCTTTCTACCCTTGTCTTTAATAAGATATTAAACGAATTCCGGATTAATTTATAGTTTGACCAATGTTTTCTCAATATTTTTGTAGTTACCACTTTCTGTTTTTCATATCGCGAATTCAAAACTGTGATAGGTTTTTTCCTCATTTTTATCTCTGTAACTTTGAAAAATTAGGCTTTAGATTTTTACACATTACCGTTACTTTGTCCAAATCCTCAACTGCATGCATCTGATTTACAATATGTCAGTCCAGTTGATCCAAAATTTGAAGTCACTAAACGTTTGGAACGTGGATCATTGCCAATTGGTAAGTTGTTTGGTTTTTTTTTCTTAATTTATTACACATTTCCCCAGTTGATTAACAATTGCCAGTTCGATTGAAATTATTTTAGTCAAGTCGAATTATACAACTTTGAATGAATCTAGTTACCTCTAATGAACGATTGATAATATGTATTGGTGTCTAACAATCGCAGCTACTAAAATAATCATTTAAAGGGATGAAATCATCACTAAGTGTTGGAGTCAGGAGTAAATATGCATTGGCCCTGGTTTCAATTCATTCTATACTCCAACATACTTGAACATTCTAGATTTCTATCCTACGTTCATTAGTGATATGCTTGAATGCTATCACAAGTTCACCTTACTCGGTAAACAGAGCACAGATAAATGATGTAGTGACATGATAGGCTATTCTAATCTGATTATCCAAGGCTCCGCTAACTAGAGCAAGAAGTTTTGATGATACGTAGAGAAATGTATTCCACAGGCAACCAGAATGTATGACGTCCACAAGCACACAACTCAAGCTTATTTATACAATGATAGAAACGCCGTTGGGGAGAGCCACAAAATAGCGCACTAAAATTATTCATCAACCAATGACAGTCAAGGGTTTTCTGAGTGGGAAATGTGAGCTGAAGGTCAACTAAGCATCTTTGAGCGCGAAAGCATAAAAAAAAAATCAAAATTTCAGGGATAAATTACAAAATTAGGACCTTTTCTAAGTAAGAATTCTGGTGATCTAATGTCCCCAACAATAAGGTTGTTATAATTTACTGTTTAGTAATCCTACTTACTGTAGACGAAATATCCGTCTGCTAACAACCAAAAGACAGGTCTACTGCAAGACAATTCACCCCATCCTACTTTATGGCTGTGAAACATGTCTGGTAAAAGTTGCGGATATTCGTAGGTTATTAATATTCGATTTTAGATATCTTCAAAGCATTGCTCGTGTATCCTGAGACAATGGCGAGTAAGCAATGCTGTTATTAGGAACCCTCGAAATGCAAAATGTTGCCTCAAGATTGGGTTTAAAGCTCGATTGGCTTTTGCCAACCTGCGTCACTTATGGCGTAGGCGTGATATCCGTTCGCTAACCAAAGGGCGGGTGTACTGCGCAGTAGTTCGTTCCGTTCTCTTATATGGCTGTGAAACATGGCCGTTAAGAGTAGAAGATGTTCGTAGGTTACTAGTATTCGATCATAGATGTTTAAGAAGCATTGCTCGTATATCGTGGGACAGCCGAGTAAGCAACGCTGTCGTTAGGAAACGAGTACTAGGTAAGGATGGCAAGTCAATAGATTAAGTATTGAAACTTCATCAGTTGAGGTGGTTGGGACATGTGTTGCGTATGTCTAATCACCGACTACCTCATCGAGCTATGTTTTGTGATGTAGAAGTAGGTTGGAAGAAAGTTAGGGGCGGCCAGACCAAAACATGGCAGAAATCAATGAAGTCATAGACAAGTGGACTGAGTAATGTCTGCAGGGGTAGACTAACTGGTTCAGCGAGGTCTTCAAGACACTAGTTGTCGATGGTTAAAGACCTTGAACGAAATGGCTCAAAATCGTTTGTAATGACTCAGGTGCATCTTTTATTTAGCTTTTCTCAAATCCCAATCGTCTAGATTCTTCATCAACTTTATTTCACTAGATTCTACTTGTTGAATAATTTTCTCAAACCCTAATTAATCTCTCCGACTACTGATAATACTCTTACTACCTTTACTACTATGCGATTTGGACTGATAGTTGCATCTCTGTGCTACTGTGGTATGGTAACCTGAACTTATGTACTGTTGTACGTACAAAGTTCTACTTTGTAACTGACTGACTTCACTGACTATAGAACGCATTATTATTGTTGATTGAACCAGGTTATTTTGTGTAAATGCACCTCTAATGTCTATAAAATATCTAAAACAAATTCTGGCTTGTATTTGTTTCTTGTTTTCTTTCTTCAGAGATTTGAGTTGCTATTTTTTCTGTTTGTTTGTTTGTCCGATCAAATTAAAATGATTGTAGACATTCCAATGTTAGACATTAACACCGTTCAATACCGTCTCAGTGGTCCAGAGGTTAGTCGTTCGTGCGCAAGACCGAAGGTCCTTGGTTCGAATCTTGCGAAGTGCAGGTGTCGTGGATGTGCACTGCCACTGCTGATGAGTAGTCAGTCCCATACCAGGACGAAACGGCTGTCTTTCAGTGCATCCAAGCTTCTAATGATAGTGGTCTAACATTGATTGATTCATGTAATTTCAAAATTATGTAACTTAACAATCTTCACAACCCCGTAATGCGATTCCAATGTTTGATTGATTATTTTGGGGCAGAGTTTTGGAGGTTTGCGTTTTTACACATTTGAAGTCATCAATCAATCATTGTTAGACCACTATTAGAAACCTGGAAGACGTGACCAATGGAGTTCAGCGCTGTCGGGTGTAGGCAGTAACTAACTACCAAAGAGACAAAATGGGTGAGGTTGCGCAAAATCCCTAGATCAATCAGAATTAGACATTAACATCGTTGGATGCCGGCCCAGTGGTCCGATCGTAAGGCGTTCGCCAACAATGCCGAAGGTCCCGGGTTCGCATCTTGTGAGGTGCAGGTGTCGTGGATGCTCATTGCCACTGATGAGTAGTCTCATACCAGGTCAGAATAGCTGTCCAGTGCTTCCAAGTTTCTAATGGTGGTAGTCTAACATTGATTGATTCATGTAATTTCAAAATTATGTAACTTAACAATCTCCAATGTTTGATTGATTGCACAATATATGTAAACCGTTTTTGTGTGTCACTGTCACGGAATCATTTTTCTGATTGTGTTCATCCTATATGGTTTTATTGATTTTTGAACAACAACAACAACAAAAAAACCAATCAATGTTTGTTTGTTTAATTTACATTTATTTCTCTCTCTCGTTTTTTTCTTTCTCATACCTGTTCATCGAATGTTCTGTGATATTTTCTGAATTGAACAGTGATTTCTGATCATTATTTTTGTTTTAATCAAGCAACACAATTCAATGTTCAAACATGCTAAGATTAATTTATTTATGTCTCTGTCATTTGTCTTAAAATAACTATTTGCCAGAAATTTTGATTTTAAAACAATCAATCGCTTTGTTGTAATCGATTATTAATTATAGTTTACTCAAATGTATATATGTATATCTTCAAGTATTCTGTATAATAAATGCTCAACCACCGACTGACTACCTTGACGAGCAATGTTTTATGGTGTACGAGTAGGTTGGAAGAACGCGTGGGGTCGGTCAAACCAAAAACATGGCAGCGATCCATGAAGTCACTGACAAGTGGACTGAGTCAGTCAGTCAGTTGCAACGTAGAACTTCGTACGTAAGTACACAAGTTCATGTTGCCATACCACACTTTAACACACAGAGATGCAAATGTCAAATCAAATCCCATAGTGATAAAGATAGTAGAGGTATTAATTTTAATAAGGAAGACTAGGGTTCGAAGATATTATTCAAGAAATATAATTCAGTGAGATAAGGTTAGAAAGACAAAGGTAGAGGTGCTGATGAATCCAGAAGATTAGGAATTGAGAGAGCTCAAAGAGTGGATGCACCTGCGCCATTGCAAACGATTTTGAGCCATGTCGTTCAAGGTCTCTAACCATTGATGACTCAGTGGGCTGAGTCATGTTGGTAGATGTAGACTACTCGGTTGGGGTCCGCGAGACATTGGTAACCGATGATCAGAGACCTTGGATGACATAGCTCAAAACCGTTTGTAATCTTCCTCTTTCGAAAGTTATCTTACTGAACTATACTTCTTGAATGATATCTTCGATTTCTAATCTTCTCAATTACCGCTAATACTTTTACTATCTCTACCACAATGGGACTTGAATTGACAATCGCGTGTCTGTGCTAATGTCGTATGACTACCTCAACTGATGCACGTACCTACGAACTTCTACGTTGTAACTGACCGACTGATAAAAAGATACTATTCAAATCACTAATTGATATGAATTTAAAAAACTGTTAAAAGCCTAAAAACACACTAGACAACCGTAGTAGTAGTAGTAGTAGTAGTAGTAGTAGTAGTAGTAGTAGTAGTAATAGTAGTAAGCATTCACTACTTTACCACCATTAATCGAACCAATGGCTTCTGGGTTTTTTTTGGCACATGAACATTATGTTACACAATAAGTGATTGATTACTAAATATTGTTACTTGATTTGTTGTTTTTTATTTGTTCGTTTTGTTTGTTTATAGGTTTAAAATTAGATGCACTGGCATGTCATGGACAAGATGGTTGTCGTGTATTACAAGTTCTTGGTGGTGGAGCTGTTGCTCGTGATCAATTACTTGTTACAAATGATTATGTGACTAGTTTAAATGGTCTTCCAATGCGTTATTTAGATAATTTAAAAGCATTTCAAATTTTACATTCATTATCACAAAATTCCGCTGTCATTGAGTAAGTATTACATATATATATATATCTTTTTTTCTCCGTTACTTACTTACTTTACGCCTGTCACCCCCGTAATGGAGCATAGGTGGCCGACTAGTGTTCTCCAACCTACTCTGTCCGAGGCCTTCCTTTCCAATTGTGTCTAATTTTTGTTCATTCTTTTCATGTTTGTCTTCATTTCTCGGCGTAATGTATTCCTTGGCTATCCTCTTTTCCGTTGACCCTGTGGGTTCCAAGTGAGGGCTTGTGTTGTGATGCAGTTGTGTGCTTTCAGCAATGTTTGTCCTATCCATTAACTTCAGCGCTTCTTCCTGATTTCTTCCTCCACTGGAATTTGGTTTGTTCTCTGCCACACTAGGTTGTTGCTGATGGTGTGTCTGGTCAACGAATCCGAAGTATTTTGCGTAGACAACAGTTAATGAATACTTGTATCTTCTGGATGATGACTTTGGTAGTTTTTCAAGTTTCCGCATTTTTAAATATACCAAGTATTAATAGGGGTTATAACAGATATCGGTTTTAACACTATGCATGAATATTTACCTGATTGCTCATTTGTGCACTTATATTGTTATCATGGTTGAGAATTAACATTGTTTCATATATATGTTACTGAACATCAGAAAGTTGTTTCATTTGCTCTTTGTCAGGGGTGGAACCCACATCATTAGCATGTCTCACAGCCAATGAGTTACCTGCAATGTGATCGGTTTTAGGTAGAATATTTCACATTTCTAAATTCTATCCATTCGGGATATATATAGAACATGTATTTCACTATCAAGTCCCAAACTGCGATTAAATTAAAATTGTTTCGTTCCTCTCCTGGCCATACCCTTTCTAATTTTCCCAATAATTTTTCCAACTGATATCCATTCTTATGAATATCATTGAAAACTGAGACTAGTTACTATGACACTGCATAATTGGATTCCACTTGAATAAGTATGAAAAATTTTACTTATGATTATGTAAAACTCTAATTTGTATTTTATCATTGCATACTGTAAAAAAGGCTGCTCTCAAATTCTCTAATCTTCTGAACTATTGATGACCTACTTTCTCTTTGCAAGTTTATTTCACTGAGATACACTTCTGGAATGATATTATGGATTGCTAATCTTTTCAATTACTACTAATACTTCTACTGCCTCTACTACTAGTACTACTACTTTTGGGATTTGATTTGAAAATCCCATCTGTTACGCTTGACTCTAGGTATGCTTAAAACTATTACGAGTGCACCTTAGTCGAATAACCAGAACAAAACAATGAACCAGCTTCCAGGTAGGTAGGTTGCTGTGATCCCTTGACCAAAAGGTATCAGCAAGAAGTCTTGATATAGTGCGTAGAAATTGTATTCTACAAACACTCAACCAGCACACAATGAATCCAAGCAGACGTCCTTGGGACAGTCACAAAAATAGCACACTAAAACGACACAGTAACCAATCACAGCTAAGGAATTTTCCTGGTGGGAAATGTGATCTCAAAGTCAACTAACTGATCATCAGCCCATGAAATAAATCCAAATGAAAGATATTTTTATCAAGGGAGTTCTGAGCATCTAACATTCCCAACACCATCTCTCTCTGTGTGTGCTAATGTTGTATGGCAACTTAAACTGATTGATATACGTTCATAAGAAGTTCTACTTTGTAGCCGACTGACTAACTGACTGATTGACTCTAAAATAAGTTATCTGTGACTAGTTATTTGCAAAATGTATCCTTCTTTGTTACTTCTCTGTCTCTAAAGTAATTTAATTTTTCATTCCTTTTGTAAATATGGGATAATTAATTGTCTTTGTAATTAATTTGATTAATGAAATAATTGAATTATTATATCTACCATATGCTTGATTCATTGTCTAATATATATAAATCGTTCAAGTTTCAATTTTATTTATTCGGTTCGACATTTTTTAAACTACATATGTATATATATATACATATATATATACATGGCATTTTCTCTGTGTACCTTCATTTCGCCTATTTAACAAGAATAGATAGATATCAACTAAGTGGATTATTAATGTTTATGTTAAATTTTTATTGTTTTGTTTAATCAATGTTTCATGTCTAACAAACATATTGTTTGAAATAAACAATAAATTAGTTTATTAAAACAATAATCATTTACAATTAGGTTGGGTTACATTGTTCAATGTAGACTATCATATGGTTAGCGGTTTTTTTTCTATTTATTGTGTAACCTACAGTTTAAAAACTGTAAATGGCATATCCCTAGATGGTATTGTAGTGAAGGAGAACACAGGTGAGGGCAACCGAATTGTATTTAATGAAAATTACAGAGTTACTCAGTAAAATCGGAAAACCATATCGTAAACGGTGAAATTTGCAAATCTTCAATCCATCATCAATCTATTGTCTGACATTTCACTACTGTTCATGTGTTTCATACAAATTCCATTGTGTTCCCACTCTTTCTTTCTTGATCTTCCCTTCATCTTCTGCTGCCAGACATTACGTTTATACTCGCGTCATATACTACTTATAAGTAGTTCACACCACAGTATAAGTTCATTAGCCATGAAATGGATTCCCTTTCTAAAGTGATGAAACCTACAGATATATCATTATCCTGTAGCCAACTAAATTCCCTCGCCTTTTTTGTCTTCTCACTCAAGTAGCCAATTTCTATCAGGGGAGAGGAGGTTGACACATTTCGTGTTCAGATTTTGGACACCGCCAACTATAACTCCTGCGAGGTGCAGGAGTCGTGGATGTGCACTGCCACCGATGAGTCCCATGCGAGGACGAAACGGCCGTCCGGTGCTTCCAGGTTTCTAGTGGTGGTCTAACAATGATTGATTGATGATTTCATATGTATAAGTGCTTAGTCGTACCTCATCACATTGAATCAGCTTCCTGACCTTCTACACTTCTCTTCACTTTACTTTTATTACTTTTATCCTCATATTAGTCTATGTGAAGGATTGCCTGAAATAAACTCATCCAACGGAATCCGTATTCGGCTTTTTATCACTTCCATCTCACGAACGGGGTTCCCCCCCCCCTTGAAGTATAACATTCAGAAATCAGATGAAAGATTTATTTCATTGTATATATTCAACTGTGAAATCTTGGGCGCCAAAACATTCTCCCTAAGCGTCTTCTATTTGATCACAGTAAATATTTTCTCGGATCGTATCTTCTATTCCTCTCTCTTCATTTGGATACTAAAAGAATTAAGTTTTCACACTTCAAGAATTAGTGTCATGTAGATTGAACCAAATAGGATGAACTGTGGTTCTTCTTGGTTTTGGCTTTGTAGTTTGTTTTGACTAGGGGGGAATTTGAATCAATTTAAAATATTCAACAAAGTTCATGTGTATTTTGAATCGACTATACTGGATGCTACACTAAATAGTTTCATCTATAAAACTGTGTAATTTTTTACTGTAGATAAACTGAGCAGAGAAAAATAATGAGAATAAGAATAGTTTCTTTTTATATTGTTGAAGTTAACGTAGTGAAATTATTACTACGCAATCTTCAAAGTTGCGATTATTGTCTCAACTTTTGAACTTTTACACATTTGAAATCACCAATCAATCATCGATTGTTAGACCATCATTAGAAACCTGTACGCACTGAAAGATGGCCGTTTCGTCCTCTGGTATGGGACTGATTGATCAGTGCCCATGTGCATCCACAACACTTGCTACTCTCAGGATTCGATCCCAGGACCTTCGTTCGATCTTGTGCGCAGACGCTTAGTCCCTAGACCGCTGGACCAGCATCTAACAGTGTTTGTGTCTAACTCTGATCAATCTAGGGGTTTTACGTGATCTCACTCATATGTCTCTATGATTAGCTACTGCTTACACGCGACAGAGTTGAACTCAACTGTTCACGTCTTCTCCGAGAATTTACTCACGAAACTAATCACGAATGAGTACATTGTACAATTTTTGAACTTGAATCAAGTTATTTTTGTCTATTGAACTTGGGCAAACAAGTTTTTTTGTCAGGTTGTACGTTCTTTATGAGTAGACTCATAGATATTTTTAATAAGAGTTATGTAGATCAGTGTTTTTACAGATTGAAATCATGAACCAATCATTGTTAAACCGACCTTAGATTGATCAGAGTTAGACAATGACACTGTTGGTTGCCTGTTGAGAGGTTAGGTGTTGGCGCACAAAATCGAACGAAGGTCCTAGTGGGGTGCGCGCTACTTATAAGTAGTATATGACGCGAGTGTAAACGTAATGTCTGGCAGCAGAAGATGAAGGAAGATCAACAAGAAAGGAAGAGTGGGGGGAACACAATGGAATTTGTATGAAATAGCATGAATAATGAGTGAAATGTCAGACAATGGATTGATGATGGATTGAAGATTTGCAAATTTCACCGTTTACGATATATGGTTTTCCTATTTTACTGAGTAACTCTGTAATTTTCGTTAAATACAATTCGGTTGCTCTCACCTGTGTTCTCCTTCACTACACTAGGATCGAATCCTGAGAGTAGCTAGCAGAAGTTGTGTAATGCGCACTGCCACTCCCATAACAGGACGAAATGGTTGTTTTAGTCAATTGACTAAAAAAAATCCAATGATATTTATTTGTCCGTCTGTTTTGATTATTATTAGTTCACAGATTTGAAACAACATTCATACATATATACATATATTGATCATTGAAAAGTTTTCTCATTTAGCCTCCTATTAAAACAATTGAAATCATTATTTTTTAACAATTATTCGATAGATTGAATATTTATTTGTTTTAGATAAATAACAAAATGTTGAACCAGTTTTTTTTTTCAATGGAACACAGCATATTTGTGTGTTTTGTGTGTTTTGTAAACAATGTGGTGTTGGTGGTGTTGCTTAGATTATTACTTTTCTTTATCAGTCTATTCACATCTAAAATGTATAGAAAAAAAATGACAGTCCTCAATCAGTCCGTCAGTCAATTAGTCAGTCAGTTACAATGTTGAACTTTGTACGTGTAAGTATATCAGTATATCAGTGTTCAAGTTGCCGCATATCACATTAGCATAGAGAGATGGAATTGTCAGTTTAAATCCCATCGTAATAGTGGTAGTGTAGTGAATGAGAACACAGGTGGGGCAACCGAATTTTATTTAACGACAATTACAGAGTTACTCAGTAAAATAGGAAAACCATATCGTAAATCGTTCATTTGCAAAATATCAGTTCATCATCATATCGAACTGGACTGTTGTTCCTGTTGCAAACAACATCAATCCATTGTCACTATTCATGCGTTTTATACAAATTCCATTGCGTTTTCTAACTATTCCTTTCTTGATCTTCCCCCATCTTCTGCTACCAGACATTACGTTTACACTCACATCATATACTACTTATAAGTAGCTCGCACCACAGTAGTAGCAGTATTAACGTGTTAATAAAGAACAGTAGGGTTTGAAGATATCATTCGAGGAGTATATCCCATAAGGAATGAATTTTTTGAGAAAAAACAGTCATGAAGAATTCAAAAGATTAGAATGTGAGAGAAGCCAAAGAATGGACCCATCGGCGCCATTACAAATAGTTTTCAGCCATGTCATCCAAAGTTTCTAACCACCGAGTATAATTGTCTCGCGGACCTCAATCAGGTAGTTTACATCTACCAACATGGCTCAGACCACCTGTCAGTGACTTCATGGATTTCTGTCATGTTTTTGTTACGCCTGCACGTAAACACATCAACTCGATATACTTGAACTATTATGAGTTTACCTTAGTCGGAAAACGAGAGCGAGGATCGAGGATCCGGCGACACGACATGCTACCCCCATATTGAGTTAAATTACGAAGACATGATATGAAGTAGAACGTGTATTCTACAAGCATCCAGAAGTATGAGGTCCGAATCCAGAAGAGTATCAGGATCCCGGACTAGGGACTCGGGACCGGGTCCTGGTCGTGGTCATAAAACGTTACCGATAATGCTTATTTATGCAGTTAGGTCGAATAGGAAACAGCATTGTAGTCTGTGACATTAACAGTTACGGCGACTAATAGGAAACATCATTTGAAGTGACATTGATAGTCAGGACGACCGATAAGAAACAACATTTGAAGTATGTGACATTGGACGACATAGGACGATCATAAAATTGACTAATAGGAATTAACCAATAGGAACAGACCAGTAATTCTCTTAGGATATTGGATGAATATCCCAACGGTTTTTGGTCTGGTCGCCCCTATTTTTCTTCCAACCCCTACCCCTACACTAGAGGCTTCATCGCTCTTCGAAGCAATCAGTGGTCGGGCATTCATAGCACATGTCCCCATCGCCAAGAAAGATATCATCCACCAAACATTGTATATATAGGTACCCTAGGTTATCACATCACTTAAACTGTATTGTGTGTTCATATTGTTTACTTGAGCCATAACGATTATTAGACTGTTATTCAGTTGACTCTAAGAACAATCATTATTTGTTGATGTTAATTCCACATTTGAAAGTTGAAGCTGAATACATAACTCGATTCAGATGGTTAAGTTTTTTCTTAAACGATACAAATAGAAAATCTAGGAGAATAAAAAAGCGTTAAATTTATAAATAGATTCAATCCAAACACATTTGTTATGTTTTCAATTAATCCAACCAATGTGGTCAGCCTAATGTTAGTTACTTCGGACATGTTGAATAATTCAAGTATCTAAATTTGAAAAGTCCTTTTTTTTTAATTTTTACACAGTTAAAACTAATCATCAATTCATTCAATAAAATGAGGATGATGATGATGGTGACGACATGTTTGAATTTAATTTACTGCTTCGTAAATGTATTGTCAACATTTTATTCAGCTCGAACTAAAAGACTATGACAGATTTTCTTATGAGTTGTTAATTTCGTAAAACTTTATTTCATTTAATCGTACTATAAACCATAACTGACCTACTGACACCTGTTACACCTAATGAAGCGTAGGATGCGTACCAGTGAATTATTTTTCTGGTTAGCGTATTTTTAGCAAGTTGAATCTCTACGGGATTGGGTCGTTAACCTCCGTGCCCAATCCTCCTCCTTTATCCGCGCTTGGAAACGGATGAAAGTTAGGTGCGGCCAAACCAAAACATGGTAGAAATCCATGAATTCACTGACAAGTAGACTGAGTCATGTTTTCAAGTATGTAGACTACCTGATGATAGTAATCGATGGTTAGAGATCTTGAGCGAAATGGCTCAGATGCATCCACTCATTGTGTTTTATGAAATTCTAATCTTCATAATTCCTCATCACCTCGATATTTCTCTTTCTTAAATTTATCTCACTGAATTACACTTCTTGAATAATTTCTTCGAACCCTAATCTTCTCCATCACCGCTTAAACTTTTACTATCTCCACTACTATGGGATTTGAACTGACAATCGACCGAAGCTGCTACCTTGACGTGGTGATCGGGCTTGCCTATTGTGACGACCCGACCGAGCTATATTGGCTGGAACATATGTTCCTGAAGGTTCTACCATGCCAGGCAGGTCGACTGGAGAACGATGAGACTAAAAGCAGCTACCTAAGGTCTGAGGGCGAAGTCGTACTGCTTACTGTGGTGGAGGGGTTTGACAGCAGTAAGGTGTTTCCCTCGGACAACCAGCATGTGCAGTGATGCTGCCTTCTGACAAGGAAGGAAGAATTAGAAAAGGTCGACCCTACAAATGTCACACCTTACCTTACCTCACGGATTTCCGTCTCCGTCTGTAAGGGTGCTCACTAAGGGCCTTTAAGAGCGGAGCTAATACTCGAAAAACCCTTCATAAAAAGGCCGTGCGTGACCGGCCTCAAGTAGTTATCCCTTGGACTCTGCGGTCACTCTCCCAGGTCTCTAAGACAAACACTAATCTATCTTCTTTTTCAGGTCCCTCAAGAAACAACCTTCCACGGTGTGGGCATCCGGGAAGTGACAACCGCCCTCATACCTGTAACAACACACGAGACCGAGTCGGTCAAAATCAAATCCTTCTTACACCCCCTAATATCTCTCTTATCTCCACGACTAACTCTTCTCACATTCATTCATCACAGTGCACAGCTAATGCAAACGATGCGAGTTCACGAAACGTCATTTCTGGTCTCCTGAAACCCCGCTAACTGAACTTACAATCGCGTTTCTGTGCTAATGTGATATGGCAACCCGAACTACTGTACGAACGTACGAAGTTTTACGTTGTAACTGACTGACTGACTGACCGGCGTTAATCGTAGAAGGTTTCCAACCGGAGTTCCATAAATCCTAAAGAACTCATATATATTTAAATGTAGAGAACATATTATATATACTTGAAACAATATTGACCCGTAATTTTTTTGTAAACATGCCCTAATACTATTTCAATCACCGCTGATCTTGAAGTAAATCAGTTTATACTATGGTGTACAATTAATGTTGAGCTTACGTTTTTATTAAAAAAAAATTCTGTGAATATTTCTTTCACGTTGATTAAAATTTCCTTACTTACTTACTTACTTACTTACTATCCAATGAATGATAAATCATTATTCCATTCTGTATTGTGTTGTGTTGTATTTCATTTCATTTTTTAGTATATCATATATTCCTGCGTCTATTATTGAATCACATCGTATGCAATGTTTATCGAAAACAATGAATCAACCTAATGAAAATGTTTTACAAAAAAAGTAAGTCTTTATTAATTAGTCGGATTTTCTCTTTCCAATCTAACTCCATTCGTCGACTTGAGTAGTAACACGTTAATTGGCTGTGTTTGGATGACAGTTTGATAAGGTGTCCAACCTATTTACACACTTTACTAACCACATAGTCAATGATCTTTCGCTCTTGTGTTCTATAAAAATTCAATTATGTGATATATATATCTTCATAAGTGAATGAACAGAGTATTAAAGAGAAATTCCCTAGACACAGATAATTTATTTCGGACCAGTTTTTAAAGCAGTTGCGGAATTAAGTTGTTTTCGTTTGATTGCTGTTACGCATGCACGTAAACATGTCAATTTGATATGCTTTGAACTATGACGAGTTTACTCCTTAGTCAGTAAACGAGAACGAGGATCGAGGATCCGTCGACACGACAGGCTACTCTAATCCGAGTGTCCCAACCCGCATTTAGTGAAAAAAGAAGAATACTTGATATGAAGTAGAACCTGTTTTCTACAAGCATCCAGAAAGTATGAGGTCCGAGTCCAGAAGAGAATCAGGATCCTGGACTAAGGATCCGGATCCAGGTCATAGAACGTTGCAGTTAATGCGTATTTATACAGTTAGTTCGAATAAGAAACAACATTGGAAGTATGTAACATTGACAGTTAGGACGATCAATAAGGAACAACATTAGAGTACGTGACATTAATAGTCAAGACGATCATCAAGAAACAACTTTTGAAGTATGTTCAGTTCCAATATCCCGAAACGAGTTGTCCGTCACCTGGAACTTAAGAAATGTCTTACATCATGTATAGAAAATCTCTAAGAGGAATAAGCCTATTCCCGATTGTGTTCAAACCAATGGCTTCTGTCATGCTTCGCACACTGTTTAAATGTTGTGTAAGAATGACTCGCACGAAACAGACCATTTTTCCATCAAGTTGTGAATCTATTGATTATATGTTCACTGATTGCTGATCAACAATCGTTATGTTTCTTGAAATCACGATTACCTTTAGTTTCTAAAAAAAGAACCATACTATTATTGAGTCCTGTTGAAGTAGTCTGTCGGTGAACAATCTATTAACATCTTGAAAGCTCTGTATACTACTAAACACCTCAGGTAGAATGAGAGCATATGCCAACCTCTCTCCATTGTTCTAACCCTCTTAGAGTTAACATTAAGCTCGTCAGATTTTTCAGGGGTTGACCTTCTACCAGGAAAGTCGCTTACTGATCTAGAATATGCCGATGACATAGTTCTATTCGGTGAAGACGCTGACAAAATGCAGAGTCTTCTGACTACCATAAGCAACAATGCGAGCATGTTCGGGATGCGGTTTTCTCCCTCGAAATGCAAAATGTTGCTTCAAGACTGGGTTGCTTCGGCACCTGAACTAGTGATAGGGAGTGAAGTAGTCGAGCGTGTAGACTGCTTCACTTATCTGGGGAGTCTCGTCAGTGCTGACGGTCTGGTGACTGACGAAATCTCAGCTCGGATACAGAAAGCTCGATTGGCTTTTGCCAACCTGCGTCACTTATGGCGTAGGCGTGATATCCGTTCGCTAACCAAAGGGCGGGTGTACTGCGCAGCAGTTCGTTCCGTTCTCTTATATGGCTGTGAAACATGGCCGTTAAGAGTAGATGTTCGTAGGTTACTAGTATTCGATCATAGATGTTTAAGAAGCATTGCTCGTATATCGTGGGACAACCGAGTAAGCAATGCTGTCGTTAGGAAACGAGTACTAGGTAAGGATGGCAGATCAATCGATGAAGTGGTGAAACTTCATCAGTTGAGGTGGTTGGGACATGTGTTACGTATGCCTAACCACCGACTGCCTCGACGAGCTATGTTTTGCGGTGTAGGAGTAGGTTGGAAGAAAGCTAGGGGCGGCCAGACCAAAACATGGCAGAAATCCATGAAGTCACTGACAAGTGGACTGAGTCATGTTGGTAGATGTAGACTACCTGATTGGGGTCCGCGAGACGAAAGTCATCAATGGTTAGAGACCTTGAACGACATGGCTCAAAATCGTTTGCAATGGCGCAGGTGCATCCACTCTTTGAGCTCTCTCAAATCCTAATCTTCTGGATTCGTCAGCACTTTCTCTACCTTTGTCTTTCTAACCTTATCTCACTGAATTATAGTTTTTGAATAATATCTCCGAACCCTAGTCTTCTTTATTATAACAATAATACCTCTACTATCTTTATCACTATGGGATTTGATTTGACATTTGCGTCTCTGTGCTAATAATGTGGTATGGCAACATGAACTTATGTACATACGTACGAAGTTCTACGTTGCAACTGACCTGAACCCTAGCAATGACATTAGGTTAGGCTTCCAAACATTGCCATCTATGCGATCATGGAACCAAGTTTAATGGAAGTAGGCAGTCATGATGATGGCATGAATCGATTACTCGAACAAAACTCTTCCACCTTTGACTGTGTGAGTCATATTGTCTACTGTGTAATGATACTCAAACTGTGTAACTCACACTGAATCAGTTAGCATTCGTTGTTCGTAAAGTGTTATAAGTACTTTGTATCTTCAATATGCAGAATACTTTTACAAAACTCGGAAGAGCATGTTATTGAACGCACTCATGATAGTGAGTGCTGAAATGTATTCTAAAATTTCATTTTCTTGTGTAGTTTTATTAGGGAATACTGATGATAGCGTGACTGGTGATATCAATCTATTTATTTATACTGGAACACCAAAGCCTCTCATACCAATCGGGGTTACATCTTTGAAGCAGTGGTCTATGATTTTCGACCAGTTGTATAAGTTAATTTTGTCCACTATCAATTGCAATTAATGCACAATATTTTAATGCAGTTTTCATTTTGGAGTTGAACGCATCCACAAGTCATCTTGATTCTAGTTACACTAGTTTCCATATAAATTGTTAACAATTTAGTGAAAATATATGTTAGTTTTGTAAACTGTTATCATGATAACTACTTATTGACTGACTAACTTTTGAATGGCTAGTTTCATACACATCTTTTCAACTATACTGATATGCTTACAGCTATTACGAGTTCACCTTACTCTCGGTAAACGCAACGAAGGCATGTTAGTCTATTTTAATCCAATTGTCCCAGGCCCCCACTAACTAGAACAAGACATTTTGATGAGACATAGAGAGAATGTATTCTATAGGTAACCAGAAAATACGAGGTTCACAAGCACACAACTCAAGATTATTTATACATTATAGAAACGTCCTTGGGAGAGCCACAAAAATAGCGTACTAAAATAATCCATCAACCAATTGACAGTGAAGGATTTTCCGAGTGGGGAATGTAGGCTCGAAAACATAATTCAAGATTTCAGAAATAAATTACAAAATTGGGACATTTTCCAAGTGTGATTTGTGGGGATCTAACATCTCCCAACACAAATACAAATGACAGTTGTAAAAATTGATTTCATCCGGGGTTTCTTTCAGCTAATGCGGTGTTTGTCTGTTTGTTTGTTTGGTTTCGTTTTAATTTCAATTAACAAATAATTTTGTTTTTATTGTTTTTGCCCAATAATAGTTCTATTCCATATTCATCTATTGTACAACCATTGAATTGGTCAGCTCCAATTGAAATTGTACTGCATCGTTTAGATACCAGTCAACCATGGGGTTTAATTGTATCTGGTAAGTATAGAAGGTTTTGTTTTGTTGTCTAATTTTCATAGACACTAGTTACTAGGATTATTCATCTGTTTTGTGTGTTGATACCGTGAGTTAGTCATTGTTATATCGCTACTATAAGAAACTTGGAAGCACCGGATGGCCGTTTCGTCTTGATATGGGACCTGTCAGCAGTCCGCATCCACTCGCAGGAATTGAACCTAGACTGTCCAGTGCTTCCAGGTTTTTAATAGTGGTCTATCGATGAGTGTACTGCGCAGCAGTTCACTCCGTCCTACTATATGGGTGTGAAACATGGCAAGTAAAAGAGTAAAAGGATATTTGTAGGTTACTGAGTTTTCTACCATAGGTGTCTTCGAAGCATCGCTCGTATATTCCGGCATCACTGAGTAAACGATGCTGTTGTTAGGAAACGAGAATTAGGTAAGTATAGTCGATCAATAGATGAAGTATTGAAACTTCATCAATTGAGGTGGTTGTGACACATATTATGCATGCCTAACCACCAACTGCTTCGACGAGCTATGTTTTGTGGTGTACCAGTAGGTCGGAAGAAAGCTAGGGGAGGCCAAACTAAATCACGGCACAAATTCATGAAGTCATTGACAAGTGAATTGAGCCATGTCGGTAGGTGTAGACTATTTGGTTGGGAATAGTGAGACAGGGGTTACCTGGTGGTTAGGGATTTTGAATGACATAGCTCAAAATCATTTGCAGTGGTGCAAATGCATCCGTTCATTGTGTTTTCTCAAATTCTAATCTCAATTCCTCATCACCTCTTATTAAATTTATTTCACTGAATTATGCCCTAATCTTCAACTAATTGATATTTAGGTGTTTAGATTGAATTCCGATCCGTCATGTCACGAATAACAGAGGACGGATTATGGAACTCCTCAATCTCTCGCTTGCTAAAAAAAATTATTTGGTGAACGAACGTAGAACGTCCAAGTTTTCTAACAATCGCGTTACGTACAAATCACTGAGTTTTTTAATCCAATCAACATTAGCCACAACATTTCTTTTCAAGCGCAATGATGATACTCAATTTGAACTTCACAGTTCACCATATTTCTTTGGGAATCCATAAATCTATTTATAAACCTGGTCACTAGTAAGCGTAAATGAAGATGCAGCTCATAAATAAGAAAAATAAATAATGTAATCTACCGAGAAGCTTAGGTTGAGATAAGGCGGATCTTCTTAGAAGACTATTTTCTGAGCTGTAGACTTAGAGGTTTAGCCCATATGGCAGTGGTGAATTTTCAGGAGATGGAACCATATAGAGTAGCCGGTTGGCCAACGTTAGTTTCTTATTCTACCTGATCCCTCAGGATCCTGGGCCTCATGTGGATTATTGGTTTGGAATTAGAGTTTTCCAACTCCCCTAAGTGAATCCTTTGTATTAATCAACCTGCTTTAAGCTCCAGGCACCCTCTTTTCACTAACTACCATAAACAGCTTACTATCTTGAGAAAACAGTTTATATAACCTCCCAGTGAATTGAACACGTTTCGTAAAGAAAAACAGGCTCTATCAACTGTTGACCTTAGATGGACATTTGGAAAGCTGTCCAGTGTTCCATTATTTTTATTAATTCCTCCAGCTTTAGTAAACGCTAGACGAAAACCATCTACACACGAAATTACTTAATTACTTAAGCATGTTATCACCATAGAGCATAGACCGCCGACCAGTTTACTCCAACCTACTCTTTCCTGGGCTACCGTTTCCAGTTCTGACCAATTTTTGTTCATTCTTCTCAGTCTGTGTGCATTTCTCAGCATAATGTGTTTCTTGGCCTTCCTCTTTTCCGTTGGTCTTGAGGGTTCCAAGTGAGGGCTTGTCTTGTCACGCAGTTGGGTGCTTTCCTCATTGTGCGTCCTATCCACGTCCAGTGCTTCTTTCTGACTTCTTCCTCCATTGGAATCTGTTTTGTTCTCTCCAACAGTAGGTTATTACTGATGGTGTTTGGCCAACGAATCAGAAGTATTTTGCGTCGAAAACTTTCAAAAATACTTATATCCTCTGAATGATGGCTTTGGTAGTTCTCCAAGTTTCCTCCGCACATTCAGTAGAACTGTCTTGACATTTGTATTGAAAATTCTGATTTTCATGCTGGTTGACAGTTGTTTTGAGTTTCAGATGTTTAATTTTAAGAAAGGTAACCCTAGTTTTGCCATTCCACGCCTTCACATCCACATCAGATCCACGTCGCTCGTCAGTTATACTGTCCCATACACGAAATTAATCTTTACAAACTCAAAATAAACTAATTCCCTGTATTATCGAACTTCACAACCTTTTGTGAACTATTAAGACTGTGTTATGTGATCAGTTTGGCTATCCAAATATACAACCTTTTGTACACCCACTTCTTGTCAATCTCCATATTTTTTGAAACCATGAATCGATCAATGTTAGACCACCATTAGAAACCTGGAAGCACTGGACTCCCGTTTCGTCCTGGTATGAGACTCTTCAGCGGTACGCATCCACGACTCCTGCACCCCGCAGGATTCGAACCCAGGACCTTCGGTATTGTGCGCGAACGCCCTAACCGTTGGACCACTAAGCAGGTGTCTGACGGTGTTAATGTCTAACTTGATCAAATCCACGGAGTTGCGCAACCTCATACACAGTCTTCGGTAGACATTGCCTACACCCGAACAGGTTGAATTTCACTGGTCACGTCTTCCAAGTTAGACATCAACACCGTTAGATACCGGCTCAGTGGTCTGACGGTTAGGGTGTTCGCGCACAATACCGAAGGTCCTGGGTTCGAATCCTGTGAGTTGTCGAGTCGTGGGATGCGCGCTGCTGAGGAGTACCACACCAGGACAAAAGGCCATCCAGTGCTTCCAGGTTTCTAATGGTGGTGGTCTAATAACATTGATCGATTCATGTGGTTTCAAAAATGTGTAACTTAACAATCTTCACAACCCCGTAATGCAAATATCTCCATATTGTACACTCATTACTATTCCTTAACTAGTAGTAGTAGACTTGCATTATTTTATTTTCATTAATGATAGACCATGATCAAGTTTATTTATTGTTTATCATTTTACACGTTTGTTTGTTTATATGAATGTGAGTATGTATGTATGTGTGTGTGTGTTGGTGTATACCACACTCTTTGCTTACTTCACCCACTTCACCCGCTTAATTCAGTAACACCAACCGAAATATCATTCACTGATTATAATAATAATAATGTTGTAACTTGAAATAAATGATTACTGTTTTTTTTTTCTAACTTGTTCAATATTCAATGTGTGTGTGTGTGTTCAATTCACATTGGTTATTGAACACGAGTATGACTATAACATGTATGTACACACAATCTCTTTGTTTATGAGGATAGAGAGATACATGTAAACAATGTTCATTAGTTGAATGGAGTGGTTTGTTGTGGTTGCCTAAAACATTTTGAAATAATGATCTGTTTGTTTTAATTAATCTAAACGAATAAACAAATAAATAACTAATTGAAAATAATCATTATTAAAGTTGTTTAAATCATATACAATGTTCAATTTTTCAATTTTTTTTTCTAAAAAAAAGTTGAAATTAATTTAAAGTCAATATTAACACACATTTACATTTTTAATGCATTGTGTTTGTTTTTTGAAATCACATGAATCGATCAATGTTAGACCAGTATTGGATACCTGGAAGCACTGTAGGACGGCCGTTTCGTCCTGGTATGGGACTACTCATCAGTGGCAGTGAGCATCCACGACTCCTGCAGCTTGCGCAGGATTCGAACCCAGGACTTTCGGTATTGTAGGCGAACGACCGCCTAACCATCGGACCACTGAGCTGTTATCTAACGGTGTTAATGTCTAACTTGATCAATCTTAACAACTTAATAATCTTCACAACCCGGTAATGCAATAATTAATTACCTGTGCTCACTAGTGAGTGACTAGCTTCATGAGGAATCTTCTCCGAGTTCTAGTGGGAAGACGTGACCAGTGACGTTCAGTTTGTTCGGATGTAGTAGACAGTAACTACCTGTGTATGAGGTTGTGCGACTCCGTGAATTGATCGAAGTTAGACAATAACACCGTCAGATACCATCTCAGTGGTCCGGAGGTCGGGCGTTCGCGCGCAAGACCGAAGGTCCTGGTTTTGAATCCTGCAGGGTGCGGGAGTCGTGGATGTGCACAGACACTGATGAGTAGTCCCATACCAGGATGAAACGGCCATCTTTCAGTGCTTCCAGGTATCTAATGATGGTCTAACACTGACCGATTCATGATTTCAAATTGATCGTTTCAATGAAACATTCATTTGAAGAAATGTTTTGTTCATTCTGAATGCACTTAATAGTATATAGAATGCAATGAACAAGATTTCTATTCTCTGATTTAGAAATTCATTAAGGAATACTAATCGATGAAGAAAAAAGAATCATCTTCAAAATCCATGAAATATCAAATTCAAGAATAAAAATCGATAAAACAATTGGTTCATAAATAATGCATGGATCGATAAATTGTTTGAAGTCTATTCAAAAGAGATTTAAAAATATCTATACTAAAATGTCTTCTTAAACGAAATAGTGAATTATTCCAGAGAGACAGACAGATACAACACAGAACTTCGTACATAAGTATATCAGTTCAGGTTGCCATACCATGTCAGAACAGAGACGCAACTGTCAGTTCAAATACAATGGTAGAAAAGGTAGTAAAAGTATTAGAAGTAATCCGAGAGATAGGGTTCGAAGATATTATTCAAGAAGTATCGTTCAGTGAGATAAATTTAGAAGGAGAAAGATAGAGATTATGAGGAATTCAGAAGGTTAGAATTAGAGAGAACACAAAGAGTGGATGCGCCTGCGCCATTGCAAACGATTCTGAACCATGTCGTTCAACGTCTCTAACCATCGGTGACTTTCGTCTTGCTTACACCAACCAGGTAGCCTACACTTACCAACACGGTTCAGTCCACTTGTCAATGACTTCATGTATTTGTACCATGTTTTGGTTTGACCGCCCCTAACTTTCTTTCAACCCACTCCTACACTACAAAACATAGCTCATCGCGGCAGTCGGTAGTTAAGCATACGTAACACATGTCGCAAGTTTCACTACTTCATCTATTGATCTGCCATCATTACCTAGAACTCGTTTCCTAACGATAGCATTTCTTACTCGGCCGTTGCAGAATACACGAGCAATGCTTCGGAGACATCGATGATCGAAGACTAGTAACCTACGAATGTCCTCTACTCTTAACGGCCATGTTTCGCATCCGTATAGTAGGACAGAGCGAACTGCTGCACAGTACACTCGTCCTTTGGTTAACAAGCGGGTGAATTATTCCAAATAACTTCGTTCATTTGTTTTCAAATTATTAATCTCTTTGTGTTTCATTAATTGTACTCATCACTAGTGTAGGTAAGATATGTGTGTGCTAACCGAAGGACGAGTGTACTACACAGCAGTTCTCCGTCCGACTGTACTGGTATGAAACATAGCCAGTAATAGTTGAAGATATTCGTAGCTTATTAGTATTCGATTATAGATGTTTTCGAAGCATTGATAGAATATCCTGGGAAAGCCGAATAAGCAATGCTATAGTTAGGAAATGATTATATATATGTCTTCGAAGTATTGCTCGTGTATCTTGGAACAGCCGAGTAAGCAATGCTGCCATTAGGAAACGAGTACTAGGTAAGAGTGGTAGATCAATAGATGAAGTATTGAAATTTCATCAGTTGAGGTGGTTGGGACATGTGTTACGTATGCTCAACCACTGACTGCCTCGGCGAGCGATGTTTTGCTGTGTAGAAATAAGTTGGAAGAAAGCTAGGGGCGTCCAAACCAAAACATGGCAGAAATCTGTGAAATCACTGACAATAATTGGATTGGACCATGTTGGTAAGTTTAAACTACCTAGTTAAGATTTGTGAGACAATAGTAACCGATAGTTGGAGACCCTGATTGACATGATTCAAAACCGTTTGCAATGGCGCAGGTGCATCCATTCTCTGTATCTTTTTAAGTTTATTTCACTGAATCATACTTCTTGAATAATAGCTTCGAACCCCACTCTCTCTGATTACTGCTAATACTTTTACTACCTTTTCTACTAAGGAACTTGAATTGACAATTGCATCTCTGTGTCCTAATGTGGTATGGCAACCTGAACTGATATATATGTACGTACGAAATTCTACCTAGTAAATGACTGACGACTATTGATTATTAATCGTATTGAAAGAATATTGATTCATATACATTAGACAAGAGTTGTTCACTGTACACTACTACTATGACAATATAACAACTCTACTTGTTAGTTCAGAAAGTATGTTATCTTCCAACCGGTATTATTATTATTATTCGAGCGAGAGGAAAATTAGTCTCTCTTTCAGTAAATATGATATTGTTTTTATGTATCCTTGAAATGTGTGTATCTTTTCGTATGGAGTGGTTTGTTGTGATTGTGGTGGTTGTTGTGGTTGCCTACAACATTTTGAAAAATGATGATACGTTTGTTTTAATTAATCTAAACGAATAAACAAATCATATACAATGTTCAATTTTTCAATTTTTTTTTTTAAAAAAAAGTTGAAATTAATTTAAAGTCAATATTAACACACATTTACATTTTTAATGCATTGTGTTTGTTTTTTTGAAATCACATGAATCGATCAATGTTAGACCAGTATTGGATACCTGGAAGCACTGTAGGACGGCCGTTTCGTCCTGGTATGGGACTACTCATCAGTGGCAGTGAGCATCCACGACTCCTGCAGCTTGCGCAGGATTCGAACCCAGGACCTTCGGTATTGTGAGCGAACGTCTAACCATCGGACCACTGAGCCCGGCATCCAACGGTGTTAATGTCTAACTTGATCAATCTTAACAACTTAATAATCTTCACAACCCGGTAATGCAATAATTAATTACCTGTGCTCACTAGTGAGTGACTAGCTTCATGAGGAATCTTCTCCGAGTTCTAGTGGGAAGACGTGACCAGTGACGTTCAGTTTGTTCGGATGTAGTAGACAGTAACTACCTGTGTATGAGGTTGTGCGACTCCGTGAATTGATCGAAGTTAGACAATAACACCGTTAGATACCAGCTCAGTGGTCCAGAGGTTAGGCGTTCGTGCGCAAGACCGAAGGTCCAGGGCTCGAATCCTGCAGAGTGCGGGAGTCGTGGATGCTCACTGCTGATGAGTAGTCTCATACCAGGACAAAACGGCCTTCCAGTGCTTCCAGGTATCTAATGGTGATCTAACACTGACCGATTCATGATTTCAAATTGATGATTTGAATGAAACACTCAATTGAAGAAATGTTTTGTTAATTCTGAATGCGGTTAGTAGCATGCAGAATGCAATGAACAAGATTTCTATTCTCTGATTTAGAAATTCACAAATGTAATCATAAGGAATACTAAACGATGAAGAAAAAAAAATCATCTTCAAAATCTATGAAATATCAAATTCAAGAATAAAAATCGATAAAAACAATTGGTTCATAAATAATGCATGAATCGATAAGTTGTTTGAAGTCTATTCAAAAGAGATTAAAAAATATCTATACTAAAATGTCTTCTTAAACGAAATAGTGAATTATTCCAGAGAGACAGACAGATACAACACAGAACTTCGTACATAAGTACATCAGTTCAGGTTGCCATACCATGTCAGAACAGAGACACAACTGTCAGTTCAAATCTAAGAGTGATAGCGATAGTAGAATACTTAGCAGCAATGGAGAAGGTTAGGGATCGAAGATCGTAAAGTATAATTCAGTAAGATAAATTTAGAAGGAGAAAGGTAGAGATTATGAGGAATTCAGAAGATTAGAATTTGAGAGAACGCAAAGAGTAGGTGCACCGACGCCATTGGAAATGATTTTGAGCCATGTCATTCAAGGTCTCTAACCATCGGTGAATATCGTCTCGCGGACACCAACTAGGTAGCCTACATCTGGCAACATGACTCAGTCCACTTGTCAGTGACTTCATGTATTTGTGCCATGTTTTGGTTTGGCCACCTCTAGAGCTTTCTTCCAACTTATTCCTACACCACAAAACATAGGTCGTCGAGGCAGTCGGTGTCCTAATGTGGTATGACAACCTGAACTGATATATATGTACGTACGATGTTCTACCTAGTAAATGACTGACGACTATTCATTATTAATCGTATTAAAAAAGTATTGATTCATATACGCTAGACATGAGTTGTTCACTGTACACTACTCTATGACAATATAAGAACTCTCCTTTGGATAAATTTAGAAAGTATGTCATCTTACAACCAGTATTATTGTCATTATTATTATTATTATTATTATTATCATTATTATTCTAGAGAGATGAATATGATATTGTTTTTACTTATCCTTGAAATGTGTGTGTATCTTTTCAAATCTTTCAACCACTTACTTACTATCTTATCTATGTGTTTACTTTCATGTTATGTGTGTTGCTGTTTGTTTTTTTGTTTTGGAGTAATGGTTACTATCTTCACTATAAATAGTAACATTATTGATTTGATTCGAAAAAGTTCATTCTTGTTTGTTTGCTGATGTTTTTTCCTAAAAGGTCCAGATATTTGCTCAACATTGAATTGTTCCCGACCAGTGAATATAGAAAATCCAAGTATCATATCAGAGATATTACCGAATAGTGTTGGGAAAAATTGTAAACTATTGAGTTGTGGTTTATTGATTTTACAAGTAAGTAGATTCAATTCTTCAATGTTGGTTGTTGTTGGTGGTGTTGTTGTTTCATGTCTGTTTTTGTGCTTAAAATATCAATTAATCATTGTTAGACCATAATTAGGAACCTAGAAGTACTAGATGGACGTTTTGGCCTAGTTTGTGACTATTGATCAGCAGTGTGTACTTACGACTTCCGCTACTTGCAGGATTCGAACCATGGACCTTCGGTCTCGCGCGCGAACGCCTCTGGTACCCAACGGTGATGATGTTTAACTCTGATCAATCTAGGGATTGCGCGTGAACTTGTGGTGTGTCTATTTACTGCGTGTTCTTAAGCTCGGTAATTAACTCGTCCAGACAATCGTTACTATATAGCGTCTGACGGTTTATAAATCAGAAGGTGAATTCGTAGTGATGAATACGTTTATTCAGAACACACCACAAAGCGAAGCGGAGAAGGAGTGAATAAAACGAAGGAAGCGAATGGATAGGCGAAGCGCGTTGGAGAAGGCGATGAGCCAACTCTAAGAGATAGAGCATGACTAAGAATATATAGTCAGGCATAAATATGACAGACATATGATAAGCAAAATAGGCATGCACACAGATGAATAAAAGCGACGAATAACTGACGAGGTCAAAAGCAAGCGATACAAATCATGTGAGTTCATGGGGATATTAAGAGATTAACATTAAAGCGAGAAGGATGAGTCAGCGCGTAGGCGTAAGCAATGGTCAGTCGTACAAGCTCATACAAACCAGATAATAAAAAATACCAATGGTACATATGGGTTGTTGCTATACGAATAGCGTGGTTACATAAGTTAATCGAAAGGCGTGATCAAATTAGATATGAGCGAACTCAAGTTTATGTGGAGGCACGACAAACTCACCCATTTGTCTTTGGTTAGCTACTGCCTACAACTTCGACAGAGTTGAACTTCACTGGTCACATTTTCTCACTAGAGCTCCGAGAATTTCTTCATCAAGCTAATAATCACTAGTGAGTACATTGTACAATAGAGATCATTGTTTATTGAGATGGTGGAGAAGATTTGTAGCTCAGGTGGATGATTCTGGTGGTGGTGTTTGGTTCTCTGAGCTGGATGTTGTTTTGATTGTGGAGATTTCATTGTTCTTCTTCTTCTGAACAATATCATCAGCACAAACTTCAGATAGAAGAAGTGAAGCATTCGAATTTCTCCATGTTTGACCTGTAGCTTGTTCCGCTAACCTCTATCTTGATTGGTTGCTGTTGATTAATATGGAACGCTTCACGATTTTGCGTGTCATCCGTGCGCAGGGGCCATGCTTATCTTCTCTGTATCGTCCCAATTTTAGTATGTGTAGCGCCGAAGCGAGGAAAATCATAGGTGACATAGGATCAAGAAATAGATCAAAAGGGGATACAATCAAAACAAAGGTACAAACAACGACAGGTTTAAGGTCAACAGCAACCAATCAAGATCGAGGTTAGCAGAATAAGCTATAGGTCAAACGTGAAGAAATTCGAATGCTTCACTTCGTCTATCTGAAGTTTTGTGCTGATGATGTTGTTCAGCAGAAGAAGAACAATGAAAGCTCCACAACCAAAACAACATCCAGCTCAGAGAACCAAACATAACCACAATCGTTGTTTATTTCTGAAATCATGAATCAACCATTGTTAGACCTGGTTAGGCGTTCGCTCGCAAGACCGAAGGTTCTGTGTCGTGGATGCGCACTGCTAATGAATCCCATATCAGGACAAAAAACAGCTGTCCAATGCTTTCAGCTTTCTATTGCTAATAGCTTAACAAGGATTGTTTCATGATTTCAACAATGCACGACAATCTCTATAACCCATAACTAAAAAAATCAATTATTTCTCTTATATCGAATAGGAATTTTTCGAATGATCAACCCATTCTTCTTCTCCTCTTTTTTGTTTTGTCCTGAGTGTTCTTTTTTTGATATTGGGAGGATTATCAGGAAGCATGTCAAGATGATTATCTTTTTTATGTGAACAATAATCAAAAGAGAAAAATAAGAAGAAAGATTACAATTTAGAAAAATGTTATTTATCTATTTATATATTTATACATTGTAAAACATGATTTCTTGTTAGCTGAATATTATTTTAACTAACATAAGATTATTAAGTTAACAATCTTCTCAACCCCATAATGCACTAATTACCTGTGCTCACTAGTGACTAGCTTCGTGAGGAACCCTTCTCCGAGTTCTAGTGGGAAGACGTGACTAGTGAAGTTCAACCTGTCCGGATGTAGTAGACAGTAACTGCTACCGAAGACTGTGTATGAGGTTGCGCTACTCCGTGAATTGATCGAAGTTAGACACTAACATCGTTAGATACCGGCTCAGTGGTGCGATGGTTAGGCATTCGTGCACAATACCGTAGGTCCTGTGTCGTGGATGCGCACTACTACTGATGAGTAGTCCCATACCAGGACGAAACGGTCGTCCAGTGCTTCCAGGTTTCTTCTAATGATGGTGTAACATTGATCGATTCATGGTTTCGAAAATGTGTAACAAGAAAAATTCACATTTTTTCAGTGTCGTTGACGTCGTAGCTCTCTTCTCCTCCTGTTGACCAACTCGATTTTGAATGAGTCATGTATACACGGTACACACCTATAATGAATATCACATTCCACTCTTTTACATGCTTGTTCTTTCTGCGCTACGTTCAAATTCAATTTAAAATAAAAATCATATATCATTCATGATGAAGGTAGTTATAAAAGTTGGCTTAAAGATTGATAAATTTAAGAGTTTTATTCACACGATAATACACGCTAAAAACGGACAACGCATAAATACACATTGAACACAAGTGTTGGTACACTTCATTTCTCCTTAATGTAAGGAAAAACAAAATAATGAAAGTCCTAGTGTAGTGAAGGAGAACACAGGTGACGGCTACCGAATTGTATTTATCTCAAATTACAGAGTTAATTGATAAAATAGAAAAAACCATATCGTAAATCGTTCATTTTCAAAATGTCAATCCATCATATCGAAATGGACTGTTCCTGTTGCAAAACATCACAATCCATTGTCTGACATTTCACTATTCATGCGTTTCATACAAATCCCATTGTGTTCCCGCTCTTCCTTTCTTGATCTTCCCCCATCTTCTACTGCCAGACATTATATTTTTACTCGCGTCATATACTATTTATAAGTAACGCGCACCACACCAGTACAAACCATTCTTAAAACTGATGTTCTCTACTGACACACTGGTAATGTGTAACGGTCGTTTCGTCCTGGTATGGGAATACTCATCAGTGGCAGTGCGCATCCACAACTCCTACCACTCACAGGATTCGAACCCTTCGGTCTTGCTCGCGAGCACACCTAACCTCTGGGCTGGCATCCAACGGTGTTAATTATCTAACTCTGATCAGTCTGGTGATTTTGCGTGACTTGATCAAACAACAATGTCAACTATGCGGAAATTTATGATGATGAATAGATTGTTTAGCCTTTCTCTACCTTATCTGTTTGTTGTTTGTTGCAGAGGTAGACTACATTTGGGTTTAGCTTGGATAGATTTTTTACTCTGAGAGATCTTTTTCTCTTGTGGTAAGGGCGAAGAATTAATCCCGTTTTCTCATATACATATTTATCATGACCAACCGATTACGTGCATGAATTTTATTTCATGTAGGCGCAGAGTGTAGAGAGAGTGAGAGAGAGAGAGAAAGTTATCTAATTTTTTTTATTTCGAGGTACTAAATCTTAATTACGAATTTGCAAACTTATTATTAGGTGTTTATATATATATGTGTGTGTGTGTGTGTGTGTGCGCGCGAGTGTGTGTGTTATAACCACAAATGTCCAATTTTCAGTTTAAGCTAATTGTTACAAACAGAGTTGCATAAATGAAACATGGATAAGTAAGGTAAAATGTTCGGATTTTAGAATATGTATCATATATATATACGTGTATATATTCCGTTTGTTTATATTTACTGAATATATATATATATATATTTATATATATTACATTGAACTTTGACAATCTTATGAATTTTAAAACATGCAACAGTGTTGTAGTGTGTGTGATTAGAGTAGTTAGTGTTGAAATTGTTTATGTTATATCTATCTATCAAGATTGGAATAGTTTAACCACTATGTCGACATTAAGGAAAGCGCCAATTATGAATATGCTCATTATAGAATTTTTGTGGAGATTGTTGAGTTTTAAATTGGAATCATGAATCGATCATTGTTAGACTAGAATTAGAAATCTGGTCGAACTGGATGACCGTTTCATGAAGTCACTGACTAGTGGACTGAGTCATATTGATAGATGTAGACTACCTACCTGGTTAGGGTCCGCAAGACGAAAGTCACCGATGGTTAGAGACCTTGAATAACATGGCTCAAAATCGTTTGCAATGGTGCAGGTGTATCCTCTCCTTTTGTTCTCTTAAATTCTGATCTTCAGAATTCCACTGAATTTTTACTTCTTGAATAATATCTTCGATCCCTTATTTTCTCCATTACTGCTAATTCTTATACTAACTCTACCGCAATGGGATTTGAACTAAACGTTACGTCTCTGCGCTTATGAGGTATGGCAACCTGAATTTGTGTACTCATGTACGAAATTTTACTTTGTAACCGACTGACCGTTTCATCCTGCTTCAAGACTCAGCAGCAGTGTGCCATATAATTAAAATTATAAAAATGTGCTCACTAGTAACTGGTTTTGTGAAGAAATTCTCGGATTTCTAGTGAGAATCTGTGACTTATGAAGTCCGACCCTGTCCGTTTTTAGGCAATTCTGCCGAACGAAGACAATGAGTGAGGTTGCTCAATACCGTAGATTAGTTGAAGCGAAACATTAAAACCGTTGGATTCCGCCGACTCATCTGTCTAGAGGTTAAGCGTTTGGGCACACGACCGAAGGTCCTGGGTTCGAATCCTACGAGTAACGGGGATGTGCATTGCCATTGATAAGTCGCATACCAGAACCAAACAGCTATCCAGTGCTTCCAGGTTTCCAATAATAGTCTAACATTAGTCATTTCATGATTTCGAAAATATTTAGAGAAATCAAACTTTCTAGTCAACCAACAAAATGATATCTATTATTGAACATTTCATGTATCTGTTATATTTGCGCAGAATTTCCCCGTCATCAATTTTTGGTTATGCTTGTCAATTGCCATGCTTGAAACTGTTATGAGTTCTCCTTAAACTTTAAACGATAGCGAAGACTGATGATCCAATGACACGGTAGACCACTCTAATCCAAGTGTCCCAAGCCCCCACTAACGGTCCCAAAATGTCTTGATAAGATGGCGTAAAAAGGTTATTCTATAAGCATTGCTGGGTTGTTGTGAAGATTGTTAAATTTTATTTGGAACGATGAATCGGTCAATGTTAGACCACCATTAGAAACCTGGAAGCACTGGAAGGCCGTTTCGTCCTGGTATGGGACTCATCAGCAGTGCGGGGTGCGGGAGTCGTGGATGCGCACAGCTTATGTGTCCCATACCAGGACGAAACGGCCGTCCAGTGCTTCCAGGTTTTTAATGGTGGTCTAACATTGACCGATTCACGGTTCCAAATATTCTATAAGCACCCAGAAAATATGAGGTTTTATACAGAAGAAGAAGAGGACCATAAAACTTTTCAGACAATGCATATTTATACAGTTAGGTCCACCGTAAATATTAACCAATAGGAAAGAACATTTAAAAGTATGTGAACTTGATAGTTAACGAAGATGACCTTAAATAATTGACCAATAGGAATCGGCCAATTGAATAAGACTTACAAAATAATTTCTTTAGGATATTTGGTGAATATCCTAACAGTTTTTTTGCATGATAAATTGTTCCGAACCACATGGATCATAAAGAATGTGTTGTATTTCTTTTTCGTCTTTTGATCAATTTCCTCTTTTTTTAGATTCAAGGTATGGATGTATCTTCTAAAGGTGCCAGTTATGTCAATGCTTATTTACAGCATTTATCTGATCAATTAGATTTAAGAGAAATTCACTTAATTGTATGTCATTTTAATGATGATGAATACATGAACACTACTACTGCTGCTACTACTGCTAATAATGATACTACAGCCAATCAAATGGATTCTATCAAACAACCTAATATTACTACTGTTACTACTACTACTACTAGTAGTAGTGACAAGAATAACAAAAATTTGAATAATGGTTACGATTTTACTGATAAACTACAAGTAAGCAATAGAGATTGAATTGTTTTTATTGTATATTTTGTTGTTGTTGTTGATGATGTTTTCTAAGAAAATGAAACTTGTTCTAAATTCATGGTAAGACAAGGCATTATTGTCATTATCACTGACCACTCTACATCATCATCATTGATTCCGAGAAAGCATTTGATGGCATGGACAGGACAACACTATGGCGTCCTTGAGAAGGTAATCAACATCATACGGAACTCTTATGATGGATTAAAACTGCAAAATCGTGCATGGAGGACAACTGATAGACCCGTTTAAGATGAGGACTACTGGTGTCCGGCAAGATTGCTTACTCTCACCTATTCTCTTTCTCTCGATGATTGACGTGATTATGAAGATGTCAAGATCTAAAGGGAAGCACGGGATACAGTGGACAGCTAGGATGCAGCTGGACGATCTGGACTTTGCTCATGATCTGGCTCTTGTATCTCACATGCAACAAGAAGTTCATGAGAAGACGACCAGTGTAGTGGCAGCAGGTTTCAACATACATAAAGGGAAAAGTGAGATTCTCCGATACAATACAACATGCGCCAACCAAATCGCTCTTGATGGAGATGCTTTGGTGGACATAAAAACCTTTACATATATGGGCAGCATCATTGACAAGCACGGTGGATCCGATTCAGATATGAGGGTGCGGGTCGGCAAAGTAAGGGCTGCATTTCTACAATTGAAGAATTTCTGCATCTCAAAACAACCGTCAACAAACATGGAAATCAGAATTTTCAATACAAATACTATATGGAGCGTAAACTCGGAAAACTGCCAAAGCCATCAGCCAGAAGATACAGGTATTCATTAACAATTGTCTACGCAAAATACTTTGGCTACGTTAGCTAGATATCATCAACAACAATCTACTTTGGGAGGAACAGATCAGAAAGAAGCGTTGTAAGTGGATAGGACATGCACTGAGGAAAGCATCCAAAGCAAGCCCTCTCTTGGAACCATCAGGGTCAAAGTAAAAAGAGGTAGGCGGAGAAACGCATTACGCCGAGAAATAGAGAGAGATAACAGAAGAATGAACCAAAATTGGACATAACTAGAAAGGGAAGCACTGGACAGAGTAGGTTGGAGAACATTGGTTTGTGGCCTGGGCTCCATTATGGGGTAACAGGTGTAAGTAAGTATTATCATTTTCATTCATTATAGTTATCATTGTGGTGTTTGTTTTGTTGTACGATATAATTTTCCAAAAAACTTTGTATACTACTCATCCGGATAATCGCTAACTAGATAATGATGCCCAATGGTATATACGGGCTGTTATCGCAGATACACACACACACATACACGGACATCGATCACAAAACCACAGACATACAAAGTGAAAGTGAAAATGATATGCAAGTGCTGAGAGGTGCAAGCAAGAAAAAAATGAACAGGATTAAAATGTACACATATATATCTTTATGTACATCGAAAAATGAATTAGTCATCGAATCAGTTATTTCAGCGATTGACGCAAAGAAGGCTAGCCGAATGAATAGGTGCGTAGGCGGTAAGCAATAAATACTCTAACATACCATGCTCTTATACAAATGGAACAATTTAAACAAGTACAATTCTACAAACAAGTTGTTTTTGTTGTTATTGTTATTGTTCGAATAACGCGCCATCTGTTAAACAAGTGCATTAAAACATTTAAACAAGTTACATGTAAACAAACTCCAATTTATGTGAGGTTCTATAGTATAATTAAAAAATTTATATGTTTCTCATAATTATACATTTAAGAAAAAAACTATGGTCTATGTATGTTGTTATTAAATTCGAAACTAATTTTTGTATTACTGGTATTAGTATGGTTGGTGTACGCTACTTATGTTCACATAAGTAGTATATGATATCAAACGGAAAGCAAAAGATCGAGAAGGAAAGAATGAGAGAACAGAAGGTGATTTGTAGGTAACGAACGTAAAGTGAACTAAAGTCTGAGCAGTCTAAATGAAAGAACACTGAAATCTGAAACAAATAAGGATTAGTGTTTGCGAATGATTATCTCACGGGAAGGTTTTTGTACATATATGCTTAACAACTCTGTAATATTCGCTTAAATATAGATAGATGTTGATGTCCTCACCTGAGTTTTTGTGCACAACATTAGTATCTGACATAAGAATAGGATTTTGTTAAGTCTAATGCTGGATGTAGCTAATACACTAGAACTAGTAGAGAACCTCTCCCCTCCTTCCCCTTAGGTCGCAAATCTAAAAACCGGATGGAATTTCTAGTGGAGTTTTAAAATGTACTAAGAAACTATGTATATTTAAAGTTTTCCGTATAGAGTGAAAACATCCCTCTAATCATCCAATCTGCACTGTTATCTAATTACCTTATACACCAACTACATCGGTATTCTAGAAATCGTATTCAGTTGTGATTGAATGAAATGTATATTCAGCTTTTAGGGAGCGTCGGGCGGTTTCTAGGAGCCACCATCTTAACAAATTCCAAAAATGAAACACACCTGAAGACTTAATTCATTTTGAAATGGTTCAAATTATCCGGTTGTTGATATTTTCTGACTGAAATTTGATCAGTCTTGGCTAGCGTATCGGTATTCTATGCGGATTGCCTCAGAATAGTCATTAAGATACAATTTGATGTAGAAATTCGCTGCTCTAATTATATCTGATCACCTTCTTATCAGCGATTGGATAATAGGTACTCCTTATCGATTTCATTGTTATTACGTTAGGTAAATAATTCAAAGTGGTTATTTTAAATATACTTACTTACGCCTGTTACCCCCGATGGAACATAGGCAGAGGACCAGTATTCTCCAAGCTACTGTGTCCTGGGCTTCCCTTTGCAGTTCTGTCCAATTTTTGTTCATTTTTCTCATATCTGTCTCCGTTTCTCGGCGTAATGCGTCTCTCGGCCTTCTACTTTTCCCTTTGGCCTTGAGGGTCCCATGTGAGAGCTTATCTTGTGACACAGTTGGGTGCTTTCCTCAATGTGTGTCCCATCTGCTTCCAGCACTTCTTGATTTATTCCTCCACTGGAATCTGGTTTGTTCTCTCCCACAGTAGGTTGTTGCTAATGTTGTTTCTGGCCAAAGAATCCGAAGTATTTTGCGTAGACAACTGTTAATGAATACACGCATCTTCTGAATGATGGTTTTGTTAGTTCTCCCAGTTTCCACTCCATATAGTAGAACTATCTTGACATTTGTATTGAAAATTGTGACTTTGATGTTGGTTCATCTTCATCCCAGTACACAAGTCAATTGCTATCTGGCTCAGTAGCTAAGTGGATAACTCGATGACGTTTGAATCAAACCGTACCGGGTTAGAGTCTCGAATAGAATGAATCGAGCGACCTGTATTCCACTACTAGCCACATTCTACCTATTCTTTGTTTTGATAAAAGATGAATACAGCATTTATCTGTTAAGCTGTCCTTATTTAAATAGCGACCTGTTTAAGATCTGTGGGTTAGTCGTAAAATAAGAAAGTGGAAACGTAAAACTAATTTTCACATAGTTTAGTATTCTCCGATTTCCAATAACCTTTTTTAGTTCTGATTATCAGTTTGCATTGAAAACTGACTTCACTTTATCTAGCGTTGCCAAAAAGTAACCTAAACTCATTGAACGGTGCTGTTGGTAGCTCTAGTATCAAGTTATGACTTGTTCAGTCTATATGAAATGGTTTCATCAGTCAGTCATTCAGTCAGTCATAACTTAGAACTCAGTACGTATGTACGTGTCTATCAGTTCAAGTTGCTAGTCCACATTAGCACAGTGTGTGGTGGCATTGTTAATTCAAATCCCATAATAGTAAAAGTAGTAGTAATAAAAATGGTAGTGAGAAGACTGCGGCAGGCGAAGAAGATTGTATTATGCAAATTTACACTCTTAGTCAATTAAAAACGAAAACATCACATTGAACACTATTTGCACACCATCTTTGAGTCCTGACTTCCAACACTCCATTCTTCTTCCATTCCTGCTGTTGCTTCCTTTACTTCCTCTGTTGGTACTCCATTTACTTCTTGATTTTGCTCCAATTGCTTTCCGTCTTCCTCTTCTGACCTTGAGACTTCTTCTTTCACCTCCCTTCTTATACTAACTACTTATATCGTTCGTATAAGTAGCACATACCACAGTAGCAGTATAAAGCCGGTAATCGGAAAGAATTTAGACATCAGAGATATAATTCCAGAAGTAAAACTCATCGATTTCATATGTTTGTTCATATAAGAGAGAATATGAAGAATTTGTCTGTTATTAACATTAATCTTTTGTTTTTTAAAATTCATGATCCAGTTATCCAACAATTTAACTATCAATACATCATCAATCAATGATCATATTTTAATGCCTGCACGAATATCGCCAAGTTCTAGTGATATGGAACATCCTGAACCATTGGTTAGTGGGTGGAATTATGATATTTTTTTTCATAGACTTTAATTTTCCTGAAATTTTCATTGTATTCTCTTTTTATTTGTTGATTTGTTTTAAATGAGTAAATTATTCATGTTGATTCTTATTGATACTGTGGTAGTTGCGTTAGATTTGAAAAGTAGGGCTCACCACTCTAATGGTCCACGATGACTCCAATACTTACGAATAATTTTATTTCCCCGTATATCATACATACTTAGGCAAACTCCGTTTGTTCGACGGCAGTAATAAGCAGCCAAATTACGGTTTTGATTGGAGGGATTTTATTTCATGCATTCGTTTACACTGGCAGATATGAGAATAAGAAGCGTACAAGCAAGGCAAATCGAAGTGGAGAAGGTGAGTGCGACAACTCAATGGGATGAAGCAGGACTAAGCCTTTGTAGTCAAACAAAATAAGTTAAACATGTGATAAGGGAAGTAAGTGGCACACACACACACCCAAATAAAAAACAACCAAGATATATGAGCGAATAATTCAGAAGGTTGAAAGATGTGTTGAATATTCTAACTTGAGAATAATGGATGAATCAATTTGACGAAAGGTTAGGGAACAAGCCCTGTGAGCTTGACATAATAGTACGCACACACACACACACTATACTGTATTTTGAACTAGCTGTGTGTTACGCATGCACGTAAACATGTCATTTTCATATGCTTGAACTATTACGAGTTTACCTTAGTCGTAAAACGAAAGCCGAGGATCTAGCGACACGACATGCTACTCTAATCCGAGTGACCCAACCCTCCCCCCCACTGAGTAAAAGCAGAAGATTTAATATGAAGTACTACCTGTATTCTACAACAGCATCCAGAAAGTACGAGGTCCGAGTCCAGAAGAGAATCAGGATCTCGGACTACGGATAGGAAACAACATTTCAAGCATGTAACATTGATAGTTAGAACGACCGCTAGGAATTGACCAATAGAACTAGACTTGTGTAAACAATTATCTTAGGAATATAAAGATGAATATCCTAACACTGTGTGTACGTAGTTTCTGCATTTTTCTTTCTATGTTGTTTGTTATATTGTTACTTTGTTGTTAATGTTAGTAGTATAATTGTAATTGTAAATTATGTTAACCTTGTTTACAGACAAAAAAAATCTCTCTGTGTTAATAATAATTGACTTGATTGCTTTGTTATCGAGAAAAAAAAAATATATATATATATATATATATTATTTCCTCTTACATGAAACCAAATGAGATACAAAATTCTACTTTGTCAATGCTTAGTTTCTGCTATTCTCTCAGTTTAACTACTTTTGCAATTACAAGCATTTAAACGCATCATTTATGTTATGAATATTTATTCCAGTTTCTTTACATACAATAACTATTGATAAACCCTACTACTACGTGAGAGCCCCTGTGGGGCTAGTGTCGGTCCCGAATCCGGATAAAGGAGGACCAGGGTTGGGTGTGAGGTTAGTGACCTCATCCTGTAGCAAACTAAATCGCTGGAAGAACGCCAACCTGAAAAAATTGATTCAAACCATCTAATTGATAAACCTTACTAAAAGGTGTTGAGACCAGTGTGCTGTAGCGCTCTGTAGAAACTTGACATAACTGGATGGCCATTTCAACATTAACACAGTGGTTCAGAAGTTAGGCATTAACATGCAAGACCGAAGATCCTAAGTTTGAATCCTGCGAGTGGCGGGGGTCGTGGATACTCACTACTGATGAATAGTTCCATACCAGGACAAAACAACCGTCTCTTAGTGCTTCCAAGTTTGTAACGGTGGTCTAACTTTGATTGATTGATGATTTCAGTGTGCAAAAAACACTAATCTTCATAACTCTAATCGAAAAATCGTAAAATATGCTCACTAGTGACCAGCTTCGTGAGGAAATTCTCCAAGTTTTAGTGAGGAGACGTGACCAGTGGAGTTTAACTCTATCTTGAGTAGACAGTAACTACCAAAGACAAATAGGTAAGGCCACATAAAATCCATAGATTGTTCAGATTTAGACATCAACACCTTTGGACGCCGACCCAGTGGTCCAGAGGTTAAGCGTCCGCGCGCAAACCTGTATGTCCTGGACTCGAACCCTGCAAGGTGCATTAGTCATGGATGCGCACTGCCATTGATGAGTCCCATACTAGAGGATGAAACAGCTGTCCAGTGCTTCCGGGTTTCTAATGGTAGTCTAACAATCATTGATTGATGATTTCAATTGTGCAAAATATACACTAATCTCCACAACCCTAATTTAAAAAAAGACTTGGTGGTTGGGACATGTGTTGCGTATGCCTAACCACCGACTGCCTCGTCGAGCTTTGTTTTGTAGTGTAGGAGTAGGTTGGAAGAAAGTTAGGGGCGGCCAGACCAAAACATGGCAGAAATCCATGAAGTCATTGATGAGTGGACTTAGCCATGTTGGTAATTGTCGACTACCTGGTTGTGGTCCGCGAAATGATAGTACTCGATGGTTAGAGACCTTGAATGACATGGCTCAAAATCGTTTGCAATGGCGCCGGTGCATTCATGCTTTGTTTTCTCCCAAATCCTAATCTTCTGGATTCCTCAACACCTCTAGTTTTGACTTTCTAAACTTTTCTCATTGAATCATACTTGAATAATATCTTCTAATCCTAACCTCTTCGATTACTTCTAATACCTTTACTACCTCTTCTACTATTGGATTTGAATTGACAATTATATCTCTGTGGCTGATGTGGTATGGCAACATGAACTGATGTACTTACGTACGTACGAAGTTCTACGTTGCACCTGTCTGACTGAAAAAAAAGACTTTCATTTATGATTTTCTGCATTAATATCTCTCTCTCTCTCTTTAAAACTCAAGAGAATTTCCCTACAAACTGTCTGAAATTTTCGTAGATTGTAATGCCTATTCTTAGAGTAGTTCATGTTTTACACACATATATTTATATTCCTCAATTTCTTTATTTTTTTTCTTTCTCATCCACCTTGGCATAAATAAATCATAGACTGATATGGAATCACGTGATGTAGTGGATATTTTATCTGGATCACTGGCATCACTGCCGGATGCAAATCATTCATCTGATTCACAGCATACTCCTCATCATAGAAAAAACTACCATCTCGTCATTATCACAATTGTCATCGCCTATTTTAAAAGATGACGATAATATGAATAGTAATAGTAGTAATACGGATGTTTTACTCTCATCAACGCTGAATGGAAATTACAAATTACAAAATGGTTGGTCTACTACTACTACTACTGGTAGTAGTAATGATACTTGTAGTTCTAATTCACCGCCATTGGCATCACCTGCTCCACCTCCATTACCGCCTAGACGATTGTCGACAACATTGAAACAACCACAACAACAACAACAACAAACGATGACTGTTAACAATTCAAATGTAAACGGAAGTAAGTTTGGCAATTCATTTTTGATCATTGGTTTTTCATTGTCTATGGACTGGTTGAACCAGCCAATAAAATAATTTTTGTGATGAGTACAAATTTGTATTTCTGTGATATGCTAGTCAATGGATATGTTTGAATGCTATTATTACGAGTTCACTTTACTCAGTAAACGGAACGAAGATCAGTGAATCAGTGACTCGATAGGCTATTCTAATCCGTTCTCCCAGGCCCTCACTAACTAGAAGAAGAAGAAGTCTTGATAAGGCATAGAAAGTGTATTCTACAAGCATCCAGAAAAATAAGGTTGAAAAGTACACAAATCATGCTTATTTATACATCATAGTAACGTCCTTGTGAGAAATAAAATCCATCAAGCAATTTTTCCGAGTGGGAAATGTAAGTTGAAAGGTCAACTGACGCGAAAACATGGAAATCCAGAATTTCAGAATAAAATTACAAAATTAGGACTTTTCTTAGTGAGTTCTGTAGATCTAACGTCCCCATCATTCTGAAGTTTCATGTGATCTAATCCAAGTCATTTCTTCACAAATAATAGTTTCCATCTCACATGTAGTCGTCAACATACACTGTAGACGCACTTAAATTCAAAAGGAATCATGTATCTAATAGTGTGCAGTTTTCAACCGTTGGGGATCCCCAGAACTCTCTTGATAAATGCCTGATTTCGGTTTTCACGTTTGCAGCCAGCATGGGCTGATCAGTTGACCTTGGGATTTCAATTCCCACCAGGAAAATCCATGGCTGTGATTGGCTGCTGTGTATTTTAGTGTGCTATTTTCTTAACTGTCCCAAGGACGTTTCTGTGATGTATAAATAAACGAGAGTTGTGTGCTTGATTGTATTGTGATTGCTGGGTGTTTGTAGAATATACTTTCTACGCTTACAAAGCCTTCTTACTTATTCGGAGATTCAAGGTAGCCTACCTGGACGCTTATAAAAGTCTCGTTCGCGTTTATCGACTAAATGACGAACCCAATATCAACGGTTCGTAAATAATCAAAAGCTAAAAGCGCACTGTTTATGTCATGATTTATGATTCATGTGTGAGTGAGTATTCAGTCTAATGATGAAATATTTTTTTTTAATCGATTTGAAGTTTCTGTAAATTTAATATGTGATTCATCAGTGAAATGTATCTGATATCTGAATCGATCATGTTTTCTATAGATCAAATCTTGGAAGAGTAATTGTTTGATTTCTTTGAAGGATGAGATTTACGTGTTTTTGAGAATATTCTATCGAGTACTTCTAGCCAATTCTTTGGATAGTCGTTTTTCACACACTGAAATCATTAGTCAGTTATTGTTAGACCATAGACGAGTTATTCGTTTACTCACCAATGGACCAGTCCACTACGTAGCAGTTCTCTCCACCCTACTACTTACTATACGGGTGAGACATGACCAGTAAGAGTAGAGTATATTCGTAGGTTACTAGTATTCGATCATCGGTGTCTCCGAAGCATGGCTCGTGTATCCTGACACTACAGAGTAAGCGATGCTGGTGTTAAGAAACGGGGACTAGGTAGAGATGGTATGTAGGGAATCTTCATCAGTTCAGGTAGTTAGGATAATGTATTACGTAAGCCTAATCACCAACTATCTCGACAAGCGATGTTGTCTAATGTAGGTGTAGAAAGGCCGAACCAAAACATGGCAGAAATCCATGAAGTCATTGACATCTGCACAGAATGATATTAGTGAGTATAGACTACTACCTGGTTGGGGATAGCGAGACAGAGGTAATCAATAATTAGAGACTGAATGACATGGCTCAAAACCGTTTGCAACGGCGCAAATGCATTCATTCTCTATCTTCACTCAAATTCTAATCTCTTGAATTCCTCATGACTGTTTTTCCCTTATCTCTGTTAAATTGACTCCTCTGGAGTATACTTCTCAAATGATATCTTCACTCACTAATCTTTTTGATTACCGCTTATACTTCTACTACCTCTACTACTACTGTGATGTACGCTACTTATGTTCAGATAAGTAGTATATGATATCAAATGGATATCAAACGTCTGACAGCAAAAGATCGAGAAGTAAAGAATGAAACAGAAGGCGATTTGTAGGTAACGTAAAGTGAACTGAAGTCTGAACAGTCTAAATGAAAGAACAATGAAATCTGAAACAAATAAGGATTTAGTTTGCAAATGATGATTTCACAGGAAGGTTTTGTACATATGCTTGACAACTCTGTAATATTAGCTTAAATATATAGATGTTGATGTCCTCACCTGAGTTCTCGAGCACAACACTACTACTACTATGGCATTTGAACTGACAATTCGATCTCTCTGTGCTGATGTGGTATGACGACTTGGACTAATGTACGCGCGGACGAAGTTCTACATTGTAGCTGACTGACTGGCTGACTAAATTTTTCTTCCTATCTTCTAATTTGTATTGAATTCATGTCGATTATTATAACTATTCGGATCCAGCTAGCTCTACAATTATCATTTATTGATTTGTTTAATTATAATTTCTCTGTTTTTTAGTTTTGTGTTACTTTTGATTATTTCTTTGAATCATAATTCGATTGTTTGTTCATGATACAATATATTGATGCCGGCCCAGAGACCAGGTGTTCGTGCTCAAAACCGAAAGTCCTGGGTTCGAATCCTGCGCGGTGCAAGAGTCGTGGATGCGCACTGCCACTGATGAGTAGTAGTCCCATACCAGAGGACGAAACAGACATCTTTCAGTGCTTCTTCCAGGTTTTTAATATTGGTGGTGGTCTAACAATGATTGATTGATTGATTGATTGATTGATGATTTCAAATGTGCAAAATAAATAAACACACACTCATCTCCACATAACAACTGTACTTGAAAAATATTGGTTTTTTTCTGTTTTCTAGTAAATTTGGATAATCCTGTGAAATTGTACACACGTCATAGTCAAGATGAAATACTTCTTATTCGTTTACCATTATGCATGAATTCTACATCACCACAGTACAATCATCCTCATCAACATCATCATCGGGTGGTTATTGATGAAATAATGAAACAATTGGGTTTACATCTTGTCAGTCAATACAATACCGAATATAATAATATGATTACATTGGTTGCTAATTGTCAAACTGACAATGATTGTGGTGGGGGGCTTAAACGTGGCGATGAAATTGTACAGGTTAGTAGTGAGTGATTTTTTTTTTGATTGGTGATTGATCGATTATTATCACACGGGAAAAAGCTAAGTGTCATTTATTCGTTCGTGTTAAGTTTGTGATGAAAGGCTTATTATGTGGGTGTGGTTACGTAGTCTATTTCATCGTAATTACTGACTCAAATTCATGTTACATGAAGGAGTAAAGTCTGATGACAATCTAATCGAAAACAACAATATCACATGCTGTTATCGGTATGAGAGCGGATATCACTTCCCAGCTGCCCAAACCACAGAAGGGTGTTGCTGGAGGAACCTGAAAAGGAAGGAAGATTAGTGTTGGTCTTAGAGACCTGAGAGCGTGACCGCAGAGTCCGAGGGACAACTGCTTGAGGCCGGTCACCGACGGCCTTTTGATGAAAGCTTTTTTGAGTATTAGCTCCGCCCTTGTTGAAAAGGCCTTACGGCTGGAGACGGAAATCCGTGAGGTAGGGTGAGGTGTGACATTTTCAGGGTCGACCTTTTCTAATCCTTCCTTCTTTGTGAGAAGGCAGCATCGCTGCAGATGCTGGTTATCCGAAGGAAACGCCTTACTGCTGTCACACCCTGGCCGTGAAACATAGCCGTTAAGAGTAGAGGACTTTCGTAGGTTACTAGTCTTCGATCATTGATGTCTCCGAAGCACTGCTCATGAATTTTGAGACAACCGCATAGGTAATGCTGTCGTTAGGAAACGAGTTCTAGGTAGGGATGGCAAATCAATAGATGAATTAGTGAAACTTCATCAGTTGAGGTGTCTGTGAGATGTGTTACGTATGCTCGACCACCTACTGCCTCGACGAGCTATGTTTTGTGGTGTATGAGTAGGTTGGAAGAAAGTTAGGGGCGGCCGAATCATAACATGGCACAAGTCCATGAAATTACTGACAAATGAATTGAGTCGTGTTGATAGATGTAGACTACCTGGTTGCGGTCTTCGAGATGATAGTAACCGATGGTTAGAAACCTTGAACGATATGGCTCGAAATCGTTTGCAATGGCGCAGATGCATCCACTCTTTGTGTTCTCTCAAATTGTAACCTTCTGAATTCCTCATCTTTCTCTTTCTAACTTTATCTCACTGAATCATACTTCTGGAATTATGCTTTCTCTCACTAATCTTCTCCATTACTGCTAATATTTCTATAATCGCTACCATTCTTGGATTTGAACTGACAGTCGCATCTCTGCGCTGATGTGGTATGGTAACCTGAACTGATGTACATACGTACGAAGTTCTGCGTTGTATCTGTCTGTCTGCTGTCACACCTCTCTACAGTCAGCAGTATGACTTCGCCTCAAGACCTTAAGTAGCTGCTTTTAGTCTTATCGTTCTTCAATCGACCACCTACCTGGCATGGTCGAACCTTCAGGAACATATATTCCAACCAATATAGGTCGGTTGGATCATCACGATAGGCAAGCTGGACCACTACATGTCCAAGGTAACAGCTACGTTCGATGAAAAACAACAAATATTGTTCGCTTATCTCATCTATGTTGTTCATATTTTTTTGTTATATAATGATTTTCAGCAATCATTCATTCATTCATTCATTTATTATTTCCTCTAACTTTTAGGTTGAAGATATCAATGTTTGTGGTTTAGATCATGTTGCAATTGAACAAATTATTCATTCAAAAATTACTGAATTCTTATCACCATCCTCTGCATCATCATCCTCATCATCGTTGAATAAAATGACCAATCATCATCATCATGTCGATGGACAATCAACCCAGTCATTGCATAAATCATTTATCACATTGATTGTAAGACGAAATCCAGCTAATTTATCTACACTTATGTCCATTTTATCATCATCACCGTCCATGCAGAATGACACTAGTAAAGTGCCAATTGTCAATTCACCATTGAATGAAAATAATTTCACAAGTGTAAGTGAATTATTTCACTGTAATATTGATGATGATCATTCATTCATTCTTGACTGTAGCTACTATCTTGACAGATGATGATCCAGGTTGCCTAGCGTGTGATGACTGAACTGAGCTAAATTGACTGCAACAACTGTTCTTTTAGATTCTATCATGCCAGATACAGGTAGTCGATCGGGGAACCGTGAGACTAAAAGCTCTAACTCAAGGTTTGTGGGTGAAGTCGTACTGCTCATGGTAGAGGGTTGTGACAGCAATAAGATGTTTCCCTGCCTTCTCACAACGGAAGGAAAGATGTTAGAAAAGGTCGACCCTAAAGCTGTCACACCTCATCGTGTACCATGAATTTTCGTTTCCGGGCTGTAAGGCCTATTTTAAAAGCCAAACTAACACTTTACAAACTATCCATAAAAAGTTTGTGCCTAACCGGCCTCAAGTAGTTGTCCCTAGAGCTCTGCGGTCACGCTCTCAGATCTATAAGACCAATTAATGCTCACCAAACTTCTTTTTCAGGTTCCACAAGAAACACCTCACAATGTTGGCAGCTGTGTTGTGTTTGAATTATCTCAAAACGAAAGCAAGTGGTTAAGAAAGGTCGACCCTAAAAAATGTCACACTTCACCTTACCCCACGAATTTCCGTCTCCATCGGTAAGACCTTACAAAACAACGGAGCTAACACTTTTACAAACTAGCCTTGAAAAGGCTGTACATGACTGGCCTTAAGTAATAATGCTCCTAGGTCGTTAAGACCAACACTCAGATTCCACAAGAAACACACCTTTCCACGATGTGTTGTCAGCTAGCAGCTGTGTTGTGTTGTGTTGTGTTTTGTAAATTGTTTTTATTTTATTGATTTATATTCTTTGTGATATGGGTGGTGTTCCAATTCACCATAATCGATTAAATTGATAAATTCGTCGTGTATGTTAATTTGTGTTTAAATGGATGAATGCAAGTGTGATATGCAAGACTGATATTAAAAGTTATTATTCTAAACACGAATGAAAACAACAAGAAATTGACAATCAGCTACAATCAACTCAAAATTTAAAAAAAAAACATTTGAAATTCTCTATTGATCATCATCAATGAACAACTTAAACTCTCTGTACACATGTAATCGATATGATACATTGAACATGTTCAAAGTAATATGTTAAAGTTTATTTATCGGTGTGTTTTATTTTTGGCATAAGCTTTATTTATGGTCATTGATAATCATGATGAGTCAGTCAGTCAGACAGTCAGTTGCAACGTAGAACTACGTACGTATGTGTACACATAAGTTCATGTTGACATATCACATTAGCACAGAGAGAGACGCAAATGTCAAATCAAATCCCATAGTGATAGTGATATTAGAGGTATTAATGGTAATGAAGAAGACTAGGATTTGAAGATATTATTCAAGAAGTATCATTCAGTGCAATAAGGTTAGAAAGACAAAGGTAGAGAAAGTGCTGACAATTTCAGAAGGTTAGGATTTGAGGGAACACAAAGAATGGATGCATCTGCGCCATTGTAAAAGATTTTGACTCATGTCATCCACAGTCTCTAACCATCGATTCCTAACATCTCGCGGATCCCAACCAGGTATTCGATACCTACCGACATAACTTAGTCCATTTGTCAATGACTGATGATACCTACAAATAACTAATTAATTAAGATGATTGTTTAATTGAAGTTACACAATGAACACTGTTTTATGTATCAGTTCAGTTGTCAATAAATAGGTTCAGTGTTCTCGCGTGAAACCCAACGCCCTCATAATTCAATTCGTTGTAGGTTGATGAGGATTGTGGATGCTTAATGTGTCCCATACTAGTGTAGTGAAGGAGAACACAGGTGAGGGCAACCGAATTGTATTTAACGAAAATTATAGAGTTACTCAGTAAAATAGGAAAACCATATCGTAAACGGTTAATTTGCAAATCTTCAATCCATTGTCTGACATTTCACTCACTATTCATGCGTTTCATACAAATTCCATTGTGTTCCCACTCTTCTTCCTTTCTCTTGATCTTCCCCCATCTTCTGCTGCCAGACATTACGTTTACACTCGCGTCATATACTACTTATAAGTAGCGCGCACCAAACTTGGAGTAAATAACTATCCAATTTCTTCTAAGTTTTCAATAGTTGGTAGTTGTCCAATATTGATCAATTTGTGATTTCATTGGAAGTCAACAATCTTCTCAACTTAATATGAAAAGAAAAAAGAAAACTTGTCTGATTTTCAGTTACTTCAAGCACTTAATGAAATCATTATACTGATTAACAAACACTTGATAGCATCATTGCTGTGAACACACACACACACGTACAGATTATTCAAATTATTAGTTTTCGTTAATGTATAACGTACTAGAGACTTGTTAATTGAATGTATATCGCACTCTGATTTAAGATATGAAATGAAAGCATTTGCATATAGATCTTACTGTTCATATTGAACAGAAACCTAGTTCATGTTTAATGATATCTATCGTTTCGTTAGGAAATGAGGGATGGCAAATCAAAGAGATGAAGTATTGAAACTTCATTAGTTGATGTGGCTTGGGACATGTGTTGCGTATGCTCAACAACCGACTGCCTCGACGAGCGATGTTTTGTGGTATAGAGGAATAGGTTGGAAAAAAGCTGGAGGTGGCCAAACCAAAACATGGCAGAAATGCATCAAATCACTGACAAGTGGACTGAGTTAGAAACCTTAAACGATATATGGCTCAGAATCGTTTTCAATGGTGCTCTCACTGCGTTCTCTCAAATTCTAACCTTTTAAATTCCTCATCACCTCAATCTTTCTCTTTCTAAATTTATCTCACTGAATTATACTTCTTGAATAATATTTTCGAATCCTAATCTTGTCCATTACTGCTAATAATAATGTATGACAATTGGTTGCGGACTCATTCAAGCGATTCTGCAGTTCATATGGCATAACGCATCTACGGTGCCCACCTTACCATCCCCAATCCAATGGACAAGCAGAACGCTTCGTGGACACCTTCAAAAGAGCTTTATAGAAAGGGGGAGACGAGGGGCCAACTAGCCAAGTAATCACTAGATTTTTAACGGCTTACAGAAGCACTCTGAACCATACGGTCCCAGAGGGGAAGTCTCTAGCTGAAGCAATGTTTGGAAGAAGTATTCAGACTATTTTTTACACGATGTTGCCCTACTATCGCTACCACTATTGTATTTGAATTGACAGTTTCGTCTCTCTGTGGTAATGTTGTAGTATGGCATGCTGAACTGATGTACTTACGTACGAAGTTCCACATTGTCACTGACCAACATCAATTACTCTTTATTTTATACTAAATAAAACCAAAAGCGCGCACTCACTCACTTTCTCCTCCTATCCATAAAAATGATTCGATTACATTTTTATTTTTTTAAGAAAAAAATAAAATATCATTAACGGTTGTTTTTAATTGAAATAATTTTTTCGCTTTCAAATTAAAACAAGCCAAGCTTGAATGAAGAGAATCAAGTAAATAAATAAATAATTTAAACGTAACTTCATCAAAACTCTGTGTACACACTTGATCGGTTGATTTAGTTAGTTAGTTAGTTAGTTAGTTAATTTTTTTGTGTTCTGAATTAACATAAATAAATGTTTTGTTTGTTTGTTTTTTTTCAAATTTACATAAACTAGTTAGTAGTTGTAGATTATTAGATGAGAGAGATCATACCTAATGATTATTTCAATTCCATTACCATTCGAGTATTTATTTCAATCAATTAATCAATCAATCAATTTAAATCCAGTTTTTTTATCTAAAGAATTCGTTGTATTGTATTGTATTGTATTGTGTGTGTGTGTGTGCATTGAATGAGAAATCGGTTTTTTCATTTTCTCCGCTTCAACTAAACAATATAACTGATTAAATGAAGTTGGAAATGTTTCTTTTACACATTGAAATGCATGAATTCATATCATTGCTAGACTACTTACTACATAAGCTCAAGTTGGCATGCCATAAACATTAGCACTGAGACCCAAGTGTCAGTTGGAATCCCTTAGTGGTAGCGATAGTAGAAGTATTAGCAGTAATGAAGAAGATTAGGGAGTGAAGATATGATTCGAGAAGTATAATGTAGTGAGATAAAGCTGAAAAGAGAAAGATAGAGATGATGAGGCATTCAGAAGATTGAATAAAATGTGAGAGAACACAAAGAGTAGATGTACCGATGCCATTGCAAACGATTCTGAGTCATGTCATTCAAGGTCTCTAACCATCGATTGTTATCGTCTCACGGACCACAAACAAGTTACTCTTCACTTACTATCATAACACAGTCCAGCTCTCAATGACTTCATGAATTTGTGACATGTTCTGGCTTGGCCGCTCGTAGCTTTCTTCCAGCCTATTCGTACACCACAAAACATAGCTCATCGAGGCAGTCGGCAGTTGGGCATACGTAACACATGTCCTAACCACCACCTCAACTGATGAAGTTCCAATACTTCATCTATTGATTTGCCATCCCTACCTATTACTCGTTTCCTGACGACAGTATTGCTTACTTGGTGGTCGCTGAATGCACGAGTAATGCTTCGAAGACATCTTTAGTCAAATATTAATTACCTACGAATATTTTCTACTCTTGCCGGCCATGTTTTGCATGGTGTCACTGTCTAACTTTGATCAATCTTATGTTTTTCACTGGGCAAAAAAATGTCTCACATTTTTTTTGCAAAATATTTCAAAACATTGTTTCTAAGTTATATCAACAATATTTTAATCTATTTTATTATACATTTTGATTGTATTGAAAACATTATCTTTTTTATTTAACTTTTTTCTATTATGTGTATGTGTTTATGTAGAGTACTTCGTCAGAAGCATTATCATCACCGTCGAATAATCTCTTACCGACTGGTTCCAAACCAATTCCACATACATTTTTAAAACAGATTATGGTTGAATTAAATGAAGATTTTCATAAATTTCAATTGTTCGATATTGTTTTAGAGAGAGTAAGTAGAGTCTTGTTGAAAATTCATTTTATTTTAGAGTGTTTGTGTATGCATGTGCGTTGGTGTGGTGCTGGTGTGATGGTTTTCTTTAGTCGAGATTGTTTTACGTTTTGTTTCATTGTGTTTTATATGATTTATGATACATATAAATGCAACACAGAGAGAGACGTTTTGTCTGTTAGAGGGATATTTCTTAATAAGAACTAGAACTAGAACTCGGAGAAGATTCATTCTAGTGGGAAGACGTGACCAGTGAAGTTCAACCTGTTTGGGTGTAGACATTCACTACCGAAGACTGTATATGAGGTTGAAGTTAGACATTAACACCGTTAGATATATATGTTTAGATATGGAATGAAAAGGCTTCGTGGGTGGGTATTTACTATCTTCATGTGAATGTAGGTAAATGGGTTGATTAATTTTGCTACACAATCTATACTACTTATAAGTAACGAGTGTCCTATTGTGTAAATTTTTTTATTCATATCTCATTGGTCGATTTGAGGTATGAGCACCGTTGTGTTTCATGTGTGCTTACATAAACTGTACTTTTCAAATTGGATTCTTCTGTATGTAATCATTGAGAATAATAAAAGCTGGTGGAGGAAATTTCTAGCTCAGGTGGATGATTGTGGTGCACTTTCGTTCTCCGAGCAGGATGAATCTACGAACAAATAAAAGAAACACGAATGGGATCACCAATATCAGGAATCATTGCGGAAGTTGTGATGCAGAGATTAGAAGTGTCGGTTTTACTAGTGATTAAGCCAAAAATGTGGATTTCGCTATGTACACGACATATTCGTCATTATTAAAAAGAGACGGCCTGGAGGAACATCTACAATCGAATCAACAACGTATTTGGTGACATAAAATTCACAATGGAAAGGGAATCAAACAATAATCTATCATTTCTGGATGTAATTATTTCCGGAACTGACACAAGGAGACTGGAGACTAGAGTATTTTGGAAGCCAACCCCCCATACAGATCTAATTCTCAACTACAGTAGCGATAAACCAAGAACTCACAAAATCAACTGCAACTACAAACTTTGTTCAAGAGAACGAAGACACACTGCGAAGCACTTGAAGCACTAAAAAAAACGAGGAAAAGCATTTGATGACTATCTTCCAAGAGAACCGCTATCCATTCAACTTCATCAATCGTCAACAGAAGCGAAATTAAGTGCAGGAATCAATAAACGGATCATTCTACCATACATCAAAGATATACTGGACCTTACATCACTACTACTGAGACCGTTTGGAATTGGTGTGGCACACAAACCAACTGAACCACTTCAATCAATTCTACGTAAACTAAAAGATAAAACGACAAAAGAAGAAAGACTAAATATCATCTACAAAATAAACTGTTCAATTTGCAACAAACACTACATCGGACAAAGTGGGTGCCCTCTTCAGCTTCGTCTACAAGAACATTGATTGGCAGTCAAATTCCGTGACATTTCTTGCCTGATATCATTACATGCGGACAACTGAGAACGATTGGACCTATGATGAAATATATATATATATATATATATATATATATATATATATATATATAATATCATAGGCAACACACGATCAAGAAACAGATCACAAGGGGGATAGAATGAAAACAAAGGTGCAAACAACGAAAGCTTTAAGGTCAGTAACAACCAATCAAGATCAAGTTTAACAGAACAAGCTACAGGTCAAACATGGAGAAATCTGAATACTTCAGGTCTTCTGTCTGAAGTTTGTGCTGATGATGTTGTTCAGAAGAAGAACAATGAAAGCTCCACAACCAATACAAAGAACGAAACCCCGTCACAATGATAAACGATGATTATCTGCAGAACATCATAGTTTTGTGTTTAAGTATTGGACTGTTACAGATAATTTTTATGTGTGTAGGCAAATGTATCTTTTTTGTGTTTTGTTTTTAATGTTCAGCAGTTGATTGATTTTTGACTTCTTTTTTTGTTGTTCATAGGGTTCAGATGGTTTTGGTATTTTTATTGTTAATTTGAGTCCAAACAATGAACCTGGTGTATTTGTCACTGAAATTCGTCCAAACAGTCCAGCATCTTTAGTAAGTTAGATCTCATAAAAAAATGTATATTTTGATGTTTAAATTTTCATTTTATTTATACTGACTACTTGTAAGTAGTAGTAGCAGACAAACTGAATATTACCAAAATTACCGATGTCTTTATCAAGAATAAGACCAACTATTGTTTTTGGTAGTTAAAAACCTGCGAGATCACTAGTATTTATACATTTACTCATGTCTCAAAACAGAAAAATTCATATCCTGTCCACAGAAGCCACATAGTTTGATTATAGACGTTATTTTACTAAATATCCATTCAAATTCTATTCAAATACCCATCCAGAAGACCGCAAATGTTGAATCTTCTTTACATACCAGTACAACGTTTTGACACGTTTTACTAACATTTATGGAATGTGTGAGGCAATTACTGAATAGAACAGTAGATCGTCGCTGAATATCATGCATTGGTTAAAGTTACACATTAATACCGTTGATTTCTGGCTCAGCGGTCAAGAGGTTAAGTGTTCGCGCGCTGTAATCGAAGGTTCTATATTCCATTCTCTGTGGTTATTGTTCGTTAATTTTTGTTCACTACTGATAAGTTTTATGCTAGGATGAAACGATCATCCAGTGTTTCCATGTTTCTAATGGTGGTCTAACATTGATTCGTTCATGATTTCAATATAAAGTTATTTGGCTTTTACTATAATTGCTGAATATTGACTCATCTTTTCAAGTGTCAATCATCATGAACAACAACGTAGAACTTTGCACGTAAGTACATCAGTTCATGTTGCCATACCACATCAGCACAGAGATGTAATTGTCAATTCAAATCCCACGGTAGTAGTAGAGGTAGTAAAAGTATTAGAAGTAATCTTAGAAGATTAGGGTTCGAAGATGTCTTTCAAGAAGTGTAATTCATTGAGCCATGTCTCTAACCATCGATTATTCTCATCTCGCGGACCCCAGCTAGGTAGTCGACACCTACCAACATGACTCAGTCCACTTGTTAGTGACTTCATGGAGTTGTACCATGTTTTGGTTTGTCCGTGGGAAACACCTTACTGCTGTCACACCCCTTTACAGTTAGCAGTACGACTTTGCCCTCAAACTTTGAGTAGATGCTTTTAGTCTCATCATTCTCCAGTCGACCTGCCTGGCATGATAGAATCTTCAAGAACATATGTTCCAGCCAGTATTATAGCTCGGTTGGGTGATCACGATAGACAACCCCGACAACTACGTCAAGGTAGCAACTACGGTCGGGATTGTCAATTCACACAACTTACAGTATATGTAACCATAATGTTTCATGTAGAAAAAAATTATTGTGGTGCGCGCTACTTGTGAGTAGTATATGACGTGAGCGGCAACGTAATGTCTGGCAGCAGAAGATGGGAAGATCAAGAAAGGAAGAAGAGTGGGAACACAATGGAATTTGTATGATGAAACGCATGAATAGTGACAATGGATTGATGTTTTGCAACAGGAACAGTCCAGTTCGATATGATGAACTGATTGATATTTTGCAAATGAACGATTTACGATATGGTTTCCCGATTTTACTGAGTACTCTGTAATTTTGGTTAAATACAATTTGGTTGCCCCACCTGTGTTCTCGTTCACTACATTATTATTATTTGTTAATTTAAAAATGCTTTGATAAGTTTTGAAGACAAATTTTTTTTCACCATGTCAAGAAGGTTAACTAGTTAGTTAGATAAAACTTGATTTATAAACAATAAAGATTCTTTTTGTGATTTAAGTATGTGTGTATTTAAAAATTTTATTGTTGTTATAATTTAAAAGTCTGAGA